TAACGGACTTCGACCGTGTGTTGTTACTAGAGATTTCTTTATTCCAATTGAATTGGGGGAATCCTATTATCGTCGACACATACTGGAAAGCGCGTAAACTATAAAGAAATATGCGAAACCTATTGCGGAATTTTTTCATTTAAAAAAAAATTAATACATGTAGCATATAACCTAAACCTCGGAGTTGACAGAAGCGGTGATGAGCTCTATCGAGTGCAGTCCCGTGCTTATCGTCCGGTCAACATCCGGTCCAGCCGGACGTCATTTCTAAACCGGAAAATCGTCAATCTTCTCTCCGTACCTGCGATTTTTCTGTAATACTTTCATTTATAACTAACACGCGGCACGAGTGCCTGAAGTTGGGACTTTACTCGTCAAAATGGCGGGTCACGAGCTTCCAACCGCCACAGGGAGATTTTGGTAGGAATAAAAAATAGATTAGAATAGAAAAAAATAAATTGTGTCGATAGCTCTTAAGTATAGCCTCACAATCGTAAAAAAAATTATGACTCCGTGGCGCCGTTGCCAAGGTATTGGCTTCGGCGTCGGGGGTCGTGGGTTCGATTCCCACACGAACTATTTGTGCGACCCACAGATAGTTGTTTCGCATCTGGGTGTTTGTCCCCGTGCAATTTATGTTTGTAAAACGTCCTTACAACACAGGATAATGTTATCCTAAAGTGAGGGCAATGTTTTTTAAATAAAAGAAAGAAAGAAAGAAAAATACATTAAAATTTCAATATTTATACTAGAAAAAAAAGAAGAAAAGGCAAATCTTTTCTGGTATAAACATTTGAGTGCTAATGTGTTTTTAATCTACATGAGCTTTAAAAAGATCTCAATATCCAATGTCTTACTTTCGAAAGGCTATGGAACAAAGACCCAGATCCTTAACAACTATCTATGGGTGGTAAGAGGATCTTAACAAAATGTTGTGCTGACATGTGCGCGGCCGCAGCGCGCCTTGTCCAAGGTTTTATCTTGAAACTATTTAAACTATCAATTTGTCTTTTTTCCCAACAATAAATAGTCGTTCTAAGTTCTTACTGTTTTTTTAACTGCGGTAGGGCCACGCTACGGAGGAGACTGTGCCCAAATGCGCAGATACATCCGGGTAAGGGTCCTCACAGAAGGCAGGCGTGAAGTGGAAGTGTTATACTTCTGCGTTTCGTCTGATGAGTGAGGTAGCCGGGACCCACGTTATTAAAATATCGTAACAGATGCAACCCTTAATCTGTGTATCAAAATCTGTGACTTAACAATAAGTGAACGGCCAGCTCTCTTGCCACGTTCTCAAATTAAAAAAAAAAACTACGTGCGTATTTTCATGTTTGTAAATACTGCCGCGTTTCGATATATCTAGCGAGATTTTCTTCTTTCCTCGTAGTACCAAGACACCTAAATCTGTTTTTAACACATTCATTTCTTAGCAAATTTGTATCAAGCGATTCTCGAAAACATTACGTTATTAAGGAAATAGTTTGATCTATGATCATAATGCACTTAACAAACGTTGCAATGAAATAAATATTGTTTTAAAACTGTCCAGTGGCGAAATTTGAAAACTCTGTCAACCGAAAGGACCATCAAACGAAAATAAAGGTCATGGTCGAGATTTAAGAAACTCAAATTGCTCAAATAGTTATATACTAAGTTATTTAATTAAACCGTATCAATTTTATTAAATGTCTTTTTTTTAAAACAAAGATTTACCTACTGCATTGAGGATAATTTTTTTTGTTATTTTTCTTTTGTTACCCTAAAGAAGTACAAGTTCTTACGTGCATACATATTAAGTACACACATGTCTAACAAAAATTAAAAAAGTATGCGTGTACTTATGTACAGTACGCGTTAGAAGTTATACTTCTTTAGCGTAACAAGATATTTCGCCTTAACGTAGAATCGTTTGTAGAAAAAACGACACTAACAATAGGAAAAAGGTATTTAATAACTATGTTGTGTCTAACTATGTATAACTATGAGGGCTGCCACTTAATGTTAAGATACTTACTCGGTATCGAAACGAAAGTACTTGGTTTCGAATTATTTAGAATCGAATCAGACTGACCCAAACAAATAGTACGAGTACTTGTAACCAATATGATACAAGTAGTTTTGACGGAAACGACTACTTTTGCTTTTCACCGATACCTACTCGATACTTAGTTAAATAGTATCGATATAAAAAGAACTTGGTATCGGAAAGAAGTATTGAGTAAGTACTCGTATTTACTCGGAACTTTTCCATCCCTAGAACTCTCTATTTCTATTCTTCTTCTCTCATTTCTCCTAGATTTCTCATAATAATATTTTTGTTTTTTGTTTTAACTCCACAATTGAATGATCAATTGATGCAAGCTCATTCTAAAAGTATCGATATGAGTAAAATATCGATACTTTATGAGTAATTATGAATAGTATCGAAAAACGATTTGAGTACTACTTATATGAGTAGGTATCGATACCATGCAGGATCGGAACATCCCTAGGTGTAGATGATACTAAAAATATGCTACCAATAAAAGAACAAAAACTGTTGGCGTTGCGGGGATTGAACCTGCGTTGAAGTTAACATCTTAGTCTAATTAAAATTTAACAGACAATAATTGTTTTTAGACGTTTGTCCTTGTCTTGTCTTGTATTAAGTGATGTTTGTGCTTTCAGTCCCGAGACTAGCTTTATCTGACGCAGAATCGGTGGGCTAGCCAGAACCCACGGGTTTTGACCCTCCGCTGTGGGTAGGGCCGCGCATGTGCTCATGCGTGCGTTTAACTACGGCATGTCATCTAAGGGCTATCGAGGTTGCGAGGACCGTGACCCCGATGGCCGTCGACTGTTTTTAGCTAATCAGTGGCTGGTGGCGGTGAGAACCGCCCTGGAACGCGGGTGTACCTTGCGTACGCGTTGTGTTAGTCTCACCGTGCTCGGAGGCGAGGGCGAACTAATGTGTTCGTTGCTACACTAACTGTGTGTGTAGTGTTATCCGGCGGGACCCCCGACGGTGGGTCAGACGTATCTAAGTCCCCTTCCTCTTACGGGTCGTTGAGGACGTTTCGCGGGAGACGCTTGTTGACGCTCGGGTTTGGATCGGGTAGGTAATTTGCTGCGCTTATCACCAGAAGGCTGGGATGATGTTCGGCTCTATCGAAGAACCGTTTAGTCAGGTCTTTGAAAAATTCTCGAATCGTCAGGAGTTTCCAATCGCTGTGTATGTCGACGTTGCGTTGATACCACTGTGCAGTGCACTACTTGCAAAATAAGTTCATCCTACTGCTACTTGTTTATGCGAATAGGGTTTGAATGGGCGAAAATCATGCATGCGTAGGACATGATTAGCCGTACGCAAGCTTTGTATAAAAGTAATTTGTGTCTTAGGAACATTTTACTTGACTGGTTAGTTAAAGTGCTTAGCCTTCCGGAGACGAACGCAGCTCTGTTACGGACGTTATTAATACGTGTTGTAAACATTTGTTCTGATAGTTACTCTCTCTGTAGTAAACTCTTTGAATTCAACAGCTGATTAGTTAATTTCTACGATGATCAATGTTTCAGACACAGGGCGTTATAATCTCAAAATTTTTAACCGTTTATAAGTAAGGAAAATAAAAAACAAATAATCTTGACAAACAATAAAGTACAAAAGGTTAAAGGTTAATAATAAACGGAAAAAAATTGCAAAGAAATTAAAGGGGCTAACTTGCTTTCACTGTGTTCACCACGCAATCGATGTAATACTCGTTATAGAAAAACGCCATCTAACAGCATATACTGTTAACACTTCGCAAGTATGATTTCTACGTGTCCACAAATATTAAAAAATCTGAAGTATTATCAGCGATGGCGCTAAACTAAACTTGATGTTCATAAAGTAATCCATAATATCGGTTTATCATTAGTATCAAATATTTAATACTTGACATAACTTTTTTTTTACAAAAGTTACATATACAGCGTGTCGTTACAACCGCGACAATAAATTAACACACGTCTAACGCTACTTACCAATAATCATAAAAAAATATGAAACGTTAAAAAATACATAATTAAAAAAAATATTTTTCAAACAAACTAATTATATTATAGATTCATACATTCAGAGACTTTTTCATTCGTTGCCGCAGCGTCGCACTACAAATCTCTCCTTCTAACAGTATATTTTATCTCTTTCAAATTCATTCAACCCAATCATTTGCTTTGTGACCTTTACAAATGAACTTTACGTTACCGTTTTATACGTTAGTTACGTTAGTTATGTTCTAAAATTTTTTGTTTAAGAAAATTTAATAACTCTGTAAATATTGATGTTTAAAGAATGTAAATGTTTAATACAATTTAAAAAAGTTATCCTCTATATGTGTGTCATTTATTGTCGCGGTTGTAACGACACGCTGTATAAAGGGTTTATATATACCTATATCCTATATTTATTGTCTTCAATTACATTTTGTATCTTTTTTTAATTTTTGTATTTTTTTTCATTATATTTTTTGTCTTCAATAAATCGAGGCCAATATTGATTTTTTTTAATATCGATACATCAATATATTTTTTCACTTGCGACTTCGACATTCCTACCAACTCTGGTACAAATAATATGGTACATACATCAGACATGATTTTTTTGCCATTATTATAGATAATGGTACAGAATCCTTCATGCGCGAGTTGAATGTATATATAAGTTTCTACCATGCCAAAGTTCTCATATTTAAGTGCCAGATTTACAGCATCAAGGTCATCACATTTGCAATGTCATACGATGAGATAAACATGGACAGCATTAGATCAACCATGATTAGGATAAAGAACTTATATCGCCCTTAAAGTAAATATATGATGATAATATCTAAAAAAATAAGCAATAGCCACTAGTATTAACCAGTTTCAATCCAGATTTAAGATTAGAAATAAAAAAACAAGATAATATAACAGGTTTAAATAAAACGTGACTAAACAACTTACAACACATACTACAGCTAAATGCAATTGATAAATTAAATTTCATCAATCAATTTGAACCTTTGATGCTGAGGCTCAGGTATTACATTGAAATACTTTTTCAATATGTTTTGGTTTTCTCGCCCGGCATAGTTTCTCTGCACCCAATTGTGTTCCCAGTGTGGGTCAAATTTCTCACATGTAACAACCACTTTGCCTGCTTCCATTGCAAACAATGTTCCATTACGACCCAAACCAACCTGAAAAATAAAGTACTAGCGTATTTATTTATATTCAATACCTATGAGATAAAACCTTTAAAAACTCAACTATTATGAATGCAAATTTTAAAGTTAAATCTTATTTTCCAACATGGTATATATAAAATTGATAACTTTCATTCATTTAAAAAAATCTTCTTTGCACACCATACTACATAAACAGGCCAAAGAAAGATATATTGGGAGTTTATTATTAAGTTAACTTAAACTAACCTAAATTCTGAGAACTTTGAAAACTATCAGTTTACACATCTATAACTATTAATTGCAAGCGTTATAATATTAACCACATAACTTTTACACTGCAACAATTTTTATTTGATTTCCATTAATAAATGTCAAAAACAGATGTAATCTACATGTTTGTATAAATATTAATATTTCTTTTATAATAACATTTGCTTTTTGTGGAAACTATCCTAATGCACTGCTGTTTTATATACCAGGTTATCAAGGCAATGAAATTCTTCATTTGCTAACTAAATAATAAATTCTTGACAAAACTACCTACTAATTTTCTTACAGCATTATTAACAGTATAAAAAATATAAACAATGTAATAAATAGTTTGGTAGTCTACAATAACGAACTTCCCAAATATGGTTGCCTAATTCTTGACTGCGTCCCTGTAGATGGTAAACACACTAGCTCCGCAAAAGCATTATATTCACTTTATATTGTCACTTATACTTGTCAATATCTCAATAGAATAATAAATTGATAATACAGATGACTAGACTTGAAAGCCCTCAATACGATATATCCAATGATATGATCGAAGGTTCTTCTTGAGAAAGTACTTACGTTCAAACCAGGGTGAAATCTGGTCTTTAGTTGGGTCGCTAGAATATGACCAGCTTGGACAAAATGACCATCTTGAACTTTCCATCCTCTGTGTTTCGGCCTTACTTTACAATTAGTGTTCCTAGTACTTCCACCAGTCTTTTTGCTTGCGTAACGGATACAATCTAAAAATTGAAGTTTAGATGATTGTAAAAACAAGCATAACCTATAAAAATATCTCAATCAGTTACGTGCCGAAAAATGCAGAAACAGGCTTTTTTACACTAAGCGTAAGATTAATAGACATTTTTATAATCACAGGTCAATTGTTAATTAAAGTATTAGGATATAAAAATACTATCTATATTCTATGATTTTTAATTTTTTATTTCATGACAACCTGACAGGAATGGGCACAGTTGCCAAATGCCAATACAACTACTAAAAATGGCCCTAAAATCAAGATGAATTAACCCTAAATGCATTTTGCAAAAGCCCAAAAAAGCCGTGTAATGTATTAAGATATTGTTTAAATTAGTTTTACGTTTTGTTAAGGTAAATAAAAATATCTTAGTTTTAATTACTTTTCATTAAAAATAAATAATAATTAACAAAAAAAATACAAATACTTACTAGCATTTCATAATTAATAAACATTTTGCTTTTTTTTAACTCACTTTGGTCAGTCAAAATAGTGATGCATGACATTAAATAATATACATGGTCCTAAAAATGGCTCTTAAATTTTTGGACCCTTAACAAAGCGTAACATGCAGATTTCCGCCCTGGGGCCTAAAAGCCCTAAGTTGGCAGGACTGGGAATGGGCAAAAAATATGGATATATGAAAATATCGATGTCGTCTGTAATTATTGATATATGTCGTCGGTATTTTTAATCGAGATATATCGAAATTCGATATTTATTTTAGACTTAATAAAACTATTTTTTATCAAATATTTAAAACATTAAATCTATCTAAATTACACATTATCTACTAAACCTAATCCACAAGGCATGGTGCCAGGAACGCTAGGTGCATTTCCTCGCTGAATAGTTTTGCTTAACCTTTGAGCGAGAAAAAAACCAGCTCTCTTGTCACCAGCCGCGGCGTTAAGCCTAGGACATAAACCTTTAAAAAATTTCGATGTACGGGCGCCTAAAGTTTCAACAGCAAATGCCACAAATACATTATCTGAACATAAAGACTCATATTTAGCCAGACGCCATTTACTTACTTCAGCTGCCTCCGATACCGCCCCGGCCCTGACCGAAGTACCCCTTAGAAAAGAGGCAGTCAAGTGTCTACACAAGTAGCATCACAAACGAGGGCTCTGCCTTTCTCCCAAGGGATCAAAGTTAAGCCATCGGGTATCTTACCATCGTCGCCGAAAATGCAACAGGGTTCTCAAATAGATGGAACATTGATGGAAACAAGTGCCCTACGGATGCTGTCGCCCAGGGAACCGTGGCGGGAAAAGCGACCAGCACTTTTTTGACAAGAAAGTCCGTGGAGACCATATTTTTCTACATCAAGAGCATTGGTGTGGTTGACAAATCGATGCCCCCAAATGGATTCCTACACCTATGCGTAAGCTTTTGTCGTCAAGTAATGTGCCCAAGTTACTTGATGGTAAATCGTAAAGCCATAAATCGATTCCTAAAATGAGACACCTAGAAAACGGGCAAGCTCTAGATTACTATCTAAAGATTGTAACTCAGCTTTTTCTATTCACTGCACCAAAGGAACATTCCACTGTTTTTTGTTGGTTTACTTCCATTGGGATAATTTCGTTGGAGCAGATAGACAGTCAAGACATCCTTGCCTCCTCGACATTGGAAAGTTCCGAATTGTGATTTAGGATATTATTGCATAAATTATTTACGCTATGCACGGAAGCAAGAAAGGCAAGTAGAGCGACACTAGAAATTTTTCTTACACACATACCGAGAAAACCAATTAGTAACAATTAGTGACAATTCCTAATTATTATAACTACTAACTATTAAATATAAATTGAATGATGACAAAGTAATTATAAGGTTATTTATACAAGTAACGTTAAAATTTTTTATTTCATGACAACCTGACAGGAATGGGCACAGTTGCCAAATGCCAATACAACTACTAAAAATGGCCCTAAAATCAAGATGAATTAACCCGAAATGCATTTTGCAAAAGCCCAAAAAAGCCGTGTAATGTATTAAGATATTGTTTAAATTAGTTTTACGTTTTGTTAAGGTAAATAAAAATATCTTAGTTTTAATTACTTTTCATTAAAAATAAATAATAATTAACAAAAAAAACACAAATACTTACTAGCATTTCATAATTAATAAACATTTTGCTTTTTTTTTAACTCACTTTGGTCAGTCAAAATAGTGATGCATGACATTAAATAATATACATGGTCCTAAAAATGGCTCTTAAATTTTTGGACCCTTAACAAAGCGTAACATGCACATTTCCGCCCTGGGGCCTAAAAGCCCTAAGTTGGCAGGACTGGGAATGGGCAAAAAATATGGATATATGAAAATATCGATGTCGTCTGTAATTATTGATATATTTCGTCGGTATTTTTAATCGAGATATATCGAAATTCGATATTTATTTTACACTCTTAATAAAACTATTTTTATCAATTATTTAAAACATTAAATCTATCTAAATTACACATTATCTACTAAACCTAATCCACAAGGCATGGTGCCAGGAACGCTAGGTGCATTTCCTCGCTGAATAGTTTTGCTTAACCTTTGAGCGAGAAAAAAACCAGCTCTCTTGTCACCAGCCGCGGCGTTAAGCCTAGGACATAAACCTTTAAAAAAATTCGATGTACGGGGACCCCCGCGCCTAAAGTTTCAACAGCAAATGCCACAAATACATTATCTGAACATAAAGACTCATATTTAGCCAGACGCCATTTACTTACTTCAGCTGCCTCCGATACCGCCCCGGCCCTGACCGAAGTACCCCTTAGAAAAGAGGCAGTCAAAGTGTCTACACAAGTAGCATCACAAACGAGGGCTCTGCCTTTCTCCCAAGGGATCAAAGTTAAGCCATCGGGTATCTTACCATCGTCGCCGAAAACGCAACAGGGTTCTCAAATAGATGGAACATTGATGGAAACAAGTGCCCTACGGATGATGTCGCCCAGGGAACCGTGGCGGGAAAAGCGACCACCACTTTTTTGACAAGAAAGTCCGTGGAGACCATATTTTTCTACATCAAGAGCATTGGTGTGGTTGACAAATCGATGCCCCCAAATGGATTCCTACACCTATGCGTAAGCTTTTGTCGTCAAGTAATGTGCCCAAGTTACTTGATGGTAAATCGTAAAGCCATAACTCGATTCTTAAAATGAGACACCTAGAAAACGGGCAAGCTCTAGATTACTATCTAAAGATTGTAACTCAGCTTTTTCTATTCACTGCACCAAAGGAACATTCCACTGTTTTTGTTGGTTTACTTCCATTGGGATAATTTCGTTGGAGCAGATAGACAGTCAAGACATCCTAGCCTCCTCGACATTGGAAAGTTCCGAATTGTGATTTAGGATATTATTGCATAAATTATTTACGCTATGCACGGAAGCAAGAAAGGCAAGTAGAGCGACACTAGAAATTTTTCTTACACACATACCGAGAAAACCAATTAGTAACAATTAGTGACAATTCCTAATTATTATAACTACTAACTATTAAATATAAATTGAATGATGACAAAGTAATTATAAGGTTATTTATACAAGTAACGTTAAAATGTTTCTGCGTATAAAATTAAAATATTAGTAATGGTAAAAACTACCCTAATAGAAAGGGCCTATTATAATCAGAGATCTATGAGAATACATTGAGAGAAGTATGAGGGGAAATTCCTCTTGTTCTGCACCACCCTTGCTGTTGCTGCTTTTATAGTAAATAAATTAATGTAAAAAAAATAAAACAAACTTTTATTTAATTCTCCTAAAAAAATATACATAAACTTTATATTAAAAATATCAGTCCATACATATCCCACTGCTGGGCCTCCTCTGTACAGATGGTATCAGGGCATAGTCCACCACGCGGCCCCACTGCGGATTGGCGGACTTCACATATCTTCGAAATATTTTTTTTGTTATTATTTCAAAAATACGCAGGTTTCCTCACGATGTTTTCCTTCACCGCTGAGCACGTATTAATTCGGCACTTAAAATTAACAATTTCATTGGTGCCGGCACCGGAGATCGAACTCAGGTTGCTAGAGTATATTGAAATAAAAGCGAGCGCCCGGACACTGAGCTATCACGGCTCTTTATCTTAAATCAAACCAATCAATTTAATAGATACAAGTATTACACAATTTATTAATTTACCTTTTATTTTTTTTTTTTTTTTCAGTTATTCATTTTCTTCTCAGTCGTACTCGTGTTCGTCTGTGCCCCTTTCATTTGATACCCATGTCGTAGTAATCTATACTTAATACATACTCTATACAGATAAATAAAATTGGAGTGTCTGTTTTTAATATTAAAATAACCGCTTTTTACTAAATGCATATGGATGCACTGTACATATACCAAAATAACATTTTTTACAATTTTTGTCTGTCTGTCTGTCTGTTTGTTCCAGCTAATCTCTGAAATGGCTGGACCGATTTGAACGGGACCTTCACTGGCAGATAGCTGGTGTAATAAAGAGTAACTTAAGCTACTTTTATTTTAGAATTTTTTTTTTTATTTTAAATTCCACGCGGACGAAGTCGCAGACACAGCTAGTGAATAATATAATTAGTCCGCCATCTTGGATTTATAGTGGATTCATATTGGATGGTCCCCCATATTTTAGGTTTAATTTGACGTTGTATTAGTGTTCGTGTTCTCCTGACCAAGCCCTTTCATTTGACACCCATACTGTCCGCCATGTTGGATGATCCGCCATATTGGAATAAGAATAACGTTATATAGCTAACATGCATTGTCAGACTAGTTGCTGATTCCACATAACCAGTATCGCCAACTGAGCGCGGAAATGACAATAAAAAGCTCCTTAAACCTCCTAGCAAATAGGAGATCCTTATCCTGCATAAGGATTTAAAAATTAAATGATCGATTTTCATTTATTGTGAAGGACGGAGAATGACTTAAAAAAATAAAAAACTTTACGACTTTTTATTTATTAGTATGACTTTTTATTTTCTATATTTTTGCTGTATAACACTGATCTCTTTATAGATTTTGCCGTAGTTACGCATGACTTGAGCAGAGTTAAAACATTTTTATTTCATGAAGACTTTAGAGCGACTATAATTATAATACGAATGATGACTCCGTAGCGCAGTGGCCAGGGTATTGGCTTCGGTCGTGGATTCGATTCCCACACGGGACAACTATTTATGTGTCCCACAGTTTTATAATAAAAAAATGTATAGACGGCGCGCTGTCACGATGTGTATGACATAATCTGACAGTAAATAAATAAATAACAATAATAAAACCGTCCACATAAAGTACATCTGTTTAAATGAGAAACCGCCTTCTTTGGTACTTATGTATCTCAGATATCTCTTTTAGAGTAAAGATTGACTCTAGAAATGGTTATTCAATTAATACATGATTAAACTATAGCTTTATGTGAGGTACAAAAATTAAAACTTATTTTTGTAAGGACTTGCCGAATTATATATACTCAGTTTAAAAATGTATATTAAGGTTAACTCCTAGCGACATGAAAAATGATTGTTGAGTTAGGTTAGTAACAAATTTTTACATCTAATCTATATAATAAAAATGTTACTGTTCGTTGTCGGTACATGGAAGATATTTGAGAAAAACTATTATTGGGGGTCTTTATCAACGCAGTAGAACGCAAAAGAATGATGGTTAAAATTTTTGTCTGTTTGTCTTTGCGTTTGTGCAGACTAATCTCAGAAACGGCTTAACCGATTTGTGTGCAACTTTCAGAATTGTAGTAAGCTTCACTTAACGTTTAGTGTTAGTTTTATTTAAATCGGTTAATACATAAAAAAATATATCAACTTAAAGAACCACATTGAATATTTGTGTGATAAAATATATAGGCAGTAGCTACAGTTGAATTGGATGTAACTATAGTTATCTATATATTATGGTCTGTAAAATGATGATGATTGTAAGTTTATATGTTATAAGTTCAAAAAATCTCGCGATGATCGTCCATCCACCGCTGTGAACAACAAATACATCAATGCTGTGCGCCGTATAAACGAAACAGGCAGGCATGTGACCTACCATGAGAATAGGGCATCCTTAGAAATAGGCATGAGTCAAATACAATAAATCCTACACAAATATTTGGGTGTGAAAAAGCTGATCGCGGTGGATCACACACAATTTGACCGAAGTTATTGACACTGAGGAACTGCGTAAAAAGAACCGTAAACGCCGTATCATCTTGCACCACGACAATGCTAGTTCCCACACAAACAGACAGTCAGACGAACTTTTGAAGGTGAAAAACGTAGAACTTATGAACCACCCTGCAATACAGTCCCGACCTGGCAACTTGTGACTTTTCTTTCCAAAAATTAAGAACCAATTGCGCGTTCAACGATATCCATCACCAGGAGAGGCTGCCGAAGAGTATGAAAAATAAGTTTATGAGGTCACCACGGAGGAGTGACACAAATATTTTCAAAATTGGTTTAATAGTATGAAAAACTGCATTTACGCAAAGGGAGAATATTTTGAGAAACAATGAATTCATTCTTGATCATTAATAGTATTTTTTTCTTATTCATTCCGGAAACTTTATGTGCGCCCCACGTAAATACATAAAATACCAATTACAGTAATAAGCGAAATAAGATCGAGGGCCAAGATTGTGGAAATAACTCTTGGTCGTAAGGATTTTTTATTTCTTTAAGCCTTCCGTCCTAAATTTCATATTTCTCGGTCGTTTTATTTTTTAACCTATAAGCAGGATGAGGAAGTCATGTATTCAAGGAAGTTTTAAACGCTTATTTCCATTTGCACGCACAGTTAGAGATACTGGTTGTATGGAAGCAGCAACTATTTATAAAAATTACTTAGATACTCAACAAAATCTATTCATTCAACGTTGAATATTTTTACCAAACCATTTATTGAAAATTGAACATTGACTGTAACCAGTCTCAAGAGTTATTTGAGAAAAATTTTAGTAAAAATGTGGGCTAAAGTACCCAACTGTGTGGCGTAATGTTAGGCATCAAATCAGTAGCATCCAGGGGACTTGCAAGTGCAGAGCAAGAGTCATTTCTACTGATCCTAGTCCTCAATGTATTATTCGACATTATAATAGGCCATTTCCATTAGTGTAGCTAGCCAGTCTCAAACACGGTACTTCCAGAGTGTCACCACAACTCCGATGCGATGAGTTTTTTTTTAATAAAAATATGTATATTACTACGTACTTACCTACATGTTGTTCTCATGCATGTCCATGCATAGTGAAGCAAATTAAATATAATTATATTTACTGACCATAGCTTTCTTGTTCTTTTTTTATTTCCGTGATATCAGAGTGCTGCTTGGTTTTTATATTGTGGTAGGGCTAGACACCAGTGTTCGCTATTGCATGAATGGACAGGCCCGTCCAGGCAAGTAGCACTACCAACGCTTCATAGAATACTGGCGTGAAGTGGATTTATTACACTTTCGTACAAGAGCATAAGCTGCTGCGTGGCCCTACCATAGTCGAAAGTATGATGATCAACACACAACTGGTATGCCGAATGGAACAGGAAGCTAAAGTTAATTCCTTACTACGCTAATGGAACCAACTAAATGCTTATACAACACCAAGTGCCTCTACTAGAATCGTAAATTCGCCAATGTTCGTCACGCTCCACCGACTCATTGTCTAACCAGGCATTTAGTCTGGCTAACTTTAATGGACAGGAAAATAGGTGCTGGTAAACGTAATGTTCTATTTGAAAACGTACTATTCTTTAATACGTCGTAATTGTTCTAATTTGAAATGATCGTTTACGAGGGAGAACGAAAATAAGTGTATTTATTGAAGGTCATTAGCGTAAACGTGAGTCGAGCAAAGGAATAATTACGGGCTACGACGGTGAATATTTTAAATGCTAATTCACTATTGACGATATAGTAGTAGGGGAGCCCAAGCAGGGATTTCGCAAGTTACTCGAGCGCTTCAAAAAATTATATGAGGAGAAACCTGTAATGGACCGCTACCATATATTAACCCCTATACTATATAATCACTATATTAGTGCGTTGAGGGTAGCGCGTCAGATTAATAAAAAAATCGACCCTCAGAACTCGAGCGCGTCAGAGCAAGGCAAGGTAAATTAAGATAATTAAAAAGATTAATCCAGAAAAGTGTATATTTCAATAATCATATTACAATAATCTGTCAATTTGGGGAAATAGGCGAGTCACAGTTTTTTTACCCCTTTATACGCCGACTGACTGGTTTTTTTTACATTTCTGAAAATTCTTACACGGTCTCTCCCCCATTAAAATGGAGAACATAGACATAGATTTTTTTCGTCTTAGACCCTAATCTTCACAATACAATAGATCCCTATGACGCTTTAATAACTGCAAATTTAACATCCCGAGCTCCCCATTTATAGTATTCATTGAAGTTATCTAATATGCCGCATGTATGTTACTTTGCCAGTAAGTGGTCACGGAAATCAACCCATTATGAATTAATGCAGAAACCAAACAAGCGATAAAATCCTTTGATAAATTTTATTTAATAGCACCAATTGTTTATCTCGGTTCAGTTCATGCCAGTCATGACAACTAATACTAATTCATAACATATGGATATATATGTACGGCACATTGCAATGTGAATACTTACTGTCGTTATATTGTGATGTCATTGACACGATTGACATTCAATACTATGACTTATGAATATAATAAATATATAATATATGTAATAAATATTACTGCTAAATTCCTTTTTTTAATATTTATTTTGTACTTTGTAATACTACTCTGGACACTAATATCGTATCGATATTATTACGAACAGTCCATGCTGTATTCCTTATCGTTAATCGTGCATGATAATATGATAAAAATTTTATGTGTAATTCAATTTTCAATCGCTGCCAAAGACTAATAGTTATGAATTCTTTAATGACAAAACTTATGTAGTTTTAAATGAAAACATTATTCATGTTTTCATTTAAAAATGATAATCTCAGCATAATATATTCGTCAGTTTATTAATGGTATGTATTAAGAGGTAGGTCCACAAGTGAACCTTGAAAGTGATAGATACATCTTAAAAAGTACTTGCATAAAAGAATATAAACCACTATATGAAAGAATAACAACTTAGAAATTACACAGTAGTCAGTAGTATTACGACGCTAAGCCGTACCAGTACACCGCTGGCACGTTTTGAATTTTTCTTGTGGGTATTATTCGTTAATTAATAACTCCAGCAAATCGATGTTAAAATCATCAATAAAATGATTTTGTTCTTAGTGGTTTGGTTAATAGTGTTGCTTGTTTTATTATCGTGGTTCAATTTGATATGGGAAGCAAAAACTTGTGACGTACCGGGACCGTTCCCTTGGCCAGTGATTGGCAATGGGCATTATTTAATTGGTAAACCTACTGGTAAGTTATGTAATTAAATATTGTATTAAATTAATTTTAAATAAGGCTTATCACCTTAACACCTTGAACTTGTCGATATGTTGTATTTAATGTATTGTATGCAATACATGTATTCATAAAAATTTAATTTAAAGCAGCGGACTTAATAAGGGTTTTAAGGTGTTTTTGAAGTTATACTTCTTTTGGTGCGTTAGGGAAAAATTATAAGAGTAATTTTTTACGATGCGCACGCAAACCGTCACGAAAAACCGACACCCTGAAATTAGCTAGATATCTACGTATGTTTGCGTGAGAACTGAAAACTGTATTCATGATATTTATTTTCTGATATTTAAATAAACTTTATTTAACTAGATAATGCGTTATAATAAACCTTTCAATGTATTAAATACCTTTTTTTATTGTTAGTGTCGTTTTAGCTAGAGCCGTGATAGCTCAGTGTCCGGCGCTCGCACTTTTAAACTTTAAACTTCTTCTAAGTTTAATTCGCTTTTTCTGTTTCAAAATTATTTAGCTTATTCAACAAAGAATCTCACATTTTTGTTCCAAACAATGCTTATGTCACAGTTTTTTCAATACCAAATTGAACTTTACCTACGCACTTGTCCCAGTTAGCTTCATGGCCAAAGAAATTCAGTGCCGACAATGAATTTAAAATTGTTTGAGTATATATTTCAACTTGTCCATTAGCTCTGGGACAAGCGACTGCATTCAAGTTGATTAATACCGTTTGTATCACAGAAGTTTTTAAAAGCTGTTAACGTGAAACATGCAATAAGTCATGTAATAAGAGCTGGTACACCGAAATCATAAAATATTTTTTTAATAATTAGTATAATACAAGGTTAGGAAACCAATAAGAATGTTTATTCTATCGACGGTTTACGCATATCCTAAGTAGCCAATATTATCGTGAACACGACATATTTTCTAACAAGTGCTTCGTGGGACAATTAAATACAATATATGATATATGTATATAAATTTAAAAAAAGGTTTCGTTTTTTGCATCAGACCCCGCCCATGAGGTGCCTTTTCTAATAAAGATGTTAAAAGGGCGCGAAGTTTCACCATAACCTTTTTATAAATTTCCTGAAGTGAGACCGAGAAACTACCGAACCTCATATACGTTGGATGGTGTCGGAACCTTTTTCTCTGCTCGGACCTCACATTTACAAGGTTGAATCCCCTTTGAATAGATGTCATAGCCAAGATAATGTACGGTGCTTTCAAAAACGGCACTTGATTAGTTTTAATGTTATCCCGTATTTCCTAAAAAAAATTTTTTTAGGTCTCCCAAGCGCTGAAACATTTACTCAACACTTTTAGATGGAATAAGTACATGATCTAAAGAGGCCAAAGATAGGATTTGATAGTATCCCGGAGCATGATCAAGTGTCGTAAAGAATATGTTACTACTTAGATATTTGGTCGTCAATAAGCAGATGGGGAAAACGGTCTTTAATCGTTTTGTTTAGTATAAATATTTCACAGCTCTTCGGTTTTTTTCCTACACCATCAAAATTTGACTAGCGTAATTAGACTTGGATTCTTGGATTCTGTCTCGTACTTGTTCGCGTTCATGATAAGACAAACGATATGGCCTATATATTACTGTTTTGTTATATACTTCTCCTAGATTTGTTGCAAAAAAATCACAGTTAGATTGAGAATTGTACAACGTTTGTCTAATATCATATTGTTCAGGCCTGTTTTCATATCACTCTGGCATTAACTTTGAAGGAGCACTAACAATGTGATTTATTTGGGATAACTCACAATCTGATATTGCTACAGTAAGAGCTTCTGGCGACAAATTACTAACTACTACTTTTCCTTTACCTTCAAGTATATTATAAAAATCGGCAAATAACCGATACTCCTTTCTGGGCTCAACCGCGTTAAAGCCTTTGATAAATACATACCCCTAGAAACAACAGGTGGTATGAACAGGAATCAATTTTGTTTTCAAGATATCCAAGGAGTTGCTTACGTGTTTAAAGTTTTAAACTTTTATTTTTAATAAATATTTTTTGGTCTCATAAAATATGTGTTTAGAGCTATCTTTTAAAACGGTCACAAAAGATAATTCTGTTAAATTTTGAACAGTAATTAAAGATGTTTGAGGAAACGAATCATCTACGATCAAAACTTCAATAGAAGATTCTATTTCATTGACCTTGATATTGATAGATGATTTATATAAAGGCGCGAATACGGAATAGCTAAAACCTCCCTTTCGGTAAATTTAATGAATACTGTGGTACTCTTGCTACTCGTGCTAAACGAGCCGCAATAGCTCAGTGTCCGGGCGCTCGCCTTTAATTCAATATACTCGAGCAACCTGAGTTCGATCCCCGGTGCCGGCACCAATGAAGTTTTTAACTTTAAGTGCTGACTTATCACGTCCTCAACGGTGAAGGAAAACATCGTGAGGAAACCTGCATATTTTCGAAATAATAACAAAAAAATATATATATATTTCGAAGATATGTGAAGTCCGCCAATCCGCAGTGGGGCCGCGTGGTGGACTATGCCCTGATATCCTCTGTATAGAGGAGGCTTTTGCCCAGCAGTGGGACATGTATAGGCTGTTACTTTACTTACTTACTTACTTACTGTGGTGCTCTTACACATTAATGTGCTCGCTGCCAATAAATTATTACATATTTATAGAACTTTTCATCAACTTTATTCAAGAGTCTATTTTTAAACTTTACTTCTCAGTTCCATTATCAGCACGCAAAAGAGAGTTAAAAGGAGTAAATGGTTCTAATGTGCTGCCCTCGTTATCATGACCTATTCAGTTGCTTCGTATGCATTTAATAATTAATTTAGTGCATCTATAATAAGCATGACCTTGTGAACGAAAACTATAACATGTTATAGAATTTTTAGTTGACACTTTTACTGGTACTCGCTCCCGGAACGTCGGCGTTATAAGGTTTTTCATGTAACCGTTCGCCTAGTTTATTGTTATCAACTATCTGAGTTCTTAGAGAAGAAAGAAAGTTAAGTAATTCTTCGGATTCGGATGTATTCCAAGGTCATAGCACAGTTGCCAATCGATCGATCACTAATGCCGTAAACGATCCAGTCAACAGCCTGTTTACCACAATATCACATCTGTTTAATAAGTTTAACTTATCGTTATAATTTATCACACAGACATTCGTTACTGCGAGATATTCGACTTAACATTGCTTCTAACAACCGTCCATAGTTTTCTTCACTGAGAAAGGCCTTACGTACCTTAGTAATGTTATGTTTTGTATATACGTCATAACCTTAATTATTACCTAAAGAATAGTGACAGACATAAAATAAACACTAGAAATAAGGACAAACTTACTACGCCATTGTTTCGTCTACAAAAAGTAAATAAGTCGTTCATGGGGCAAAGTGTACGCATGTATAATAAAATCCCACAGTCGATATTAAGTCTGCCGCTTGACCAATTTAAATGTAAAATTAAAAAAACAACTGATGATTAAAGCATATTATACCATTTCGGAATATCTCGACGACGCCAATGTGTGGAGTTAATACTGTTGATACTCACGTAGGCTAGAATAAGACTATTATACCTGTATATTATATTGTACCCTGATATTTTTGAAAAAGAGCAACTGTTGAGTTTCTTGCCGGTCTCTTCTCAACAGAAACCGCTTTCCGAACCGGTGGTACCTTACGAACCTATACACATAATCTTTGATGTAAAATTTGACGATTCATAAGAGCGCGCAAGCGTCTATTTGAATAAATATATTTTGATTTTTGATTTTTGATTTTAGTTTGCCACTCATCACAAGTAAAAAGGTACTACTACTACAACTAGACCTCGGAAGCGTCCTTGTCGCCTACCCAGTACCAATTTATAAGTTACTCCGCAAAACTTAGTACCTACAGTTTCATAGAAAATCGTTTTGATTTATTTATTAATCGCATATTGTTATTTCCTTATTATTACTTTGCAAATTATTTTAGTAATCATCAATATTTTAGATGTCGTCAAATATCCGTTGTGCATAAAACTACCTCATTTCACCCAAATGGCAGTCCTGAAGCTGAAACCTGATACCTTAATTATTGTCCAAAAAAAAACATAACAATCCACTATATTGCCTCACAGCGCTATCCTTTCACTTTTAATTTTAAAAGTACCTGGATGACCTTTGGCAAAGCCTCAAACCATCTTGATAGACCAGTTAATTTTTGCAAAGAGAAATAAGCAGTTTGTTTCTTGTTCCAATTATATATCATAGCACATTCGTTTATCTTACGCAGCCAAAAGTCGATGGTTTAAGACCTATTAGATGGATCAAATTCGGGAATAACATTCATGAAACCATTGTTATGATACAAACCTTTAGAGTTATCGTTTGTTACGCCCTTTAACAACATTAATAAGTAAATGAAACTAATTTTACGGATTTATCGCGTTTATTTTTAATTTTAATTCCCGACGTTTCGAACCCTTTACAGCGTTCATGGTCACGGGACAGACTGAGGTGTTAGACGTCTGATTGTCATAGTTAACCCGGGCTACCGTCAGTTTTTGAATTATTAATTTTGTGTCCGATCTATGCAGGGGGAGCTAATTGTATCTTGTCTTGCAGTAGTGGTTCGTTTTGGGCCTAGATTTAATTTTATTGATGACAGGATCCCAAGCTGATGGTAGTACCCAACCTTCTTCTCTATTGAAATTAGGGTGTTTTTTAATTTCAATAGCCTCGCGAATCATCCTTGGGAGGAATCGGTGTTCTTTTGCAAGGATCTGTGGTTTGTCAAACCTGATGTAGTGGTTGGGCCTATTCAAAATGTGCTCACAAACTGCAGACTTGTTCAATCTATTGTGTTTTATGTCAGCTATATGTTCTTTCACGCGGGTTTTTATTGCTCTTTTCGTTTGACCTATGTAAGAGAGCCCACATTCACAGTCAAGTTTGTACACTCCTGGATCTTGCAGAGGGATATTACACTTGACAGATGGTAAAAACTGACTAATCTTCTTCAGCGGCTTGTAGAATGTATTAATTGAAGCCTGCTTTAAGATATAGCCAATCTTGTCGGTGACTCCTCTGACGTATGGTAGAACAGCAGGTGCTCCACTGTGGCTGGTTTGTTTTGTGGTTGACACTCGGTCACTGTGACGTAGGCGCGGTGCTCGAAGCTTGTTGTCATGCAGAACTTGCTTGACATGTTGAAGCTCAGCGGCCAGGTGTTGTTTGTCACAGATCCCTTGTGCTCTCTGAAACAAAGATTTACCCACGGTAGCTAACTGGGATGGATGGTGGTGAGAATCACCGTTTAGGTATCTATTTGTATGGGTTGCCTTCCTATACACAGTGTGACTTACAGTGTTATTTGGATTGCGGATGACCAAAACATCTAAGAAAGCTAAAGAGTTATTATGCTCTAATTCCATAGTGAATTGTATTTTGGAATTTACTGAGTTAAGGTGGTTTAGAAATGCATTAACTTTACTTGTTGGTAAAATGGTGAAGGTGTCATCTACATACCTCTTGTAAAACCTTGGATAAATGGGAGCTGTGCGAAGGGCCTTCTCCTCAAAGTCTTCCATAAATATGTCAGCGACAATGGGAGATACTGGGCAGCCCATTGCTACACCATCTATCTGTATGTAAAATTCCTCCTTCCAAAGCAAGTAGCCGGATGTTAGGCAATGTTTAAGTAGTAATGCATACTCTTCCGGCATGTTATTCTCTTTTAGCTTTCTTGTTACAATTGAGATGCAGTCTTCTAATGGTAGGCATGTAAATAAAGACTGTACATCAAAACTGACCATTGTTTCATTCAGGCAACCCATACAAATAGATACCTAAACGGTGATTCTCACCACCATCCATCCCAGTTAGCTACCGTGGGTAAATCTTTGTTTCAGAGAGCACAGGGATCTGTGACAAACAACACCTGGCCGCTGAGCTTCAACATGTCAAGCAAGTTCTGCATGACAACAAGCTTCGAGCACCGCGCCTACGTCACAGTGACCGAGTGAAACCAGCCACAGTGGAGCGAGTACCTGCTGTTCTACCATACGTCAGAGGAGTCACCGACAAGATTGGCTATATCTTAAAGCAGCTTCAATTAATACATTCTACAAGCCGCTGAAGAAGATTAGTCAGTTTTTTACCATCTGTCAAGTGTAATATCCCTCTGCAAGATCCAGGAGTGTACAAACTTGACTGTGAATGTGGGCTCTCTTACATAGGTCAAACGAAAAGAGCAATAAAAACCCGCGTGAAAGAACCCCAACCACTACATCAGGTTTGACAAACCACAGATCCTTGCAAAAGAACACCGATTCCTCCCAAGGATGATTCGCGAGGCTATTGAAATTAAAAAACACCCTAATTTCAATAGAGAAGAAGGTTGGGTACTACCATCAGCTTGGGATCCTGTCATCAATAAAATTAAATCTAGGCCCAAACGAACCACTACTGCAAGACAAGATACAATTAGCTCCCTCTGCATAGATCGGACACAAAATTAATAATTCAAAAACTGACGGTAGCCCGGGTTAACTATGACAATCAGACGTCTAACACCTCAGTCTGTCCCGTGACCATGAACGCTGTAAAGGGTTCGAAACGTCGGGAATTAAAATTAAAAATAAACGCGATAAATCCGTAAAAGTTTCATTTACTTATTAATGTTGTTAAAGGGCGTAACAAACGATAACTCTAAAGGTTTGTATCATAACAATGGTTTCATGAATGTTATTCCCGAATTTGATCCATCTAATAGGTCTTAAACCATCGACTTTTGGCTGCGTAAGATAAACGAATGTGCTATGATATATAATTGGGACAAGAAACAAACTGCTTATTTCTCTTTGCAAAAATTAACTGGTCTATCAAGATGGTTTGAGGCTTTGCCAAAGGTCATCCAGGTACTTTTAAAATTAAAAGCGAACCCTCCGAGGAACTTCTTCATCAGTTGATCCGGATGAAATAGATCGATATCTCCTTTTGGATCGTTTTGCTCGGTGCCTGTGTCTCAGTGTATTATGTGGCGTGCAACCTCCGCTATCAGACATTATCGTTACTGTAAAGTGCAAATAAATTGCGAAATAATGCATTGAACAACACAAGAGAAAAAATTGCCAACATTTTTGAGCGCGAATTCCTGAAAGTTAATATCGGTTTTTAGACAATTAGTAATGATTTATCTACCTAAATTCCTTGAAACTTCGAGAGTATTGTTAATGCTAAACTGTATTGTTACGATTACGTTTTTAACGTCTTAAATGTCAATTATGCGTCGATAACATTTTGATATGAGGTATATGATTTTAAATTATTAAAAATATAATTAATAATTTCAAAGAAGGTTCGAATTCCAGAACTTTAGTTGAAAAACGAACGAAGTCCCGACTATAAAAGGAGCTCGTTTCGCACTAGACGGCAGTTGAGTGGAGGAACTCGAGGAAGAAGGAACAGGAAGAAGAAAGTGGAAAGTGAAGTAATAGGGAGTGAACAGTATAGGAGTGAACAGTGACGCGAAGTGATTAGTAGTGTAAAGGTGTACGCGGTGGGTAACGTGTGGATCGTTGCACCAGCAGTCATGTCACATGTGCGGAACGGGAGAGTCGTCGCATCGGTAGTACTAGTAAGGACTAGAGTGTATTGAGTGAGCCGCTGTGCACGTCTTTGTTGGCGACAATAAAGTGAACATTTAAACGACCGGCGTTTCAATCCAATCCCGAACCCTCAGCTCTTAACAACAACATAGATAGATATATTAGATATCATATAGATATATTATTAAAACATCATTGGATGAAGTGATAAAAGCCAGCAACACTATTGTGCTTCAGAAAAGTGCAACCAATGCTTCTTGGCTCACAAATAAATATGAATCGTTCGGCAGTTCGAACGAATTAACAATGCTTTGAAAACACCGACTCTGTCAAGAAAAGTCTGGATCCGGTGCATAGACTGGAAAAGTAACAGAACTCCCTGCCACTCTTAACTTACTTACGGGCTTACTTACTTACGGACTTACGATACATGGTAAGTAAGCCCGTAAGTAATGAGCTGAAAAAGCATAAATGTTCGTTCCTCAAAAAAACTTCCACGAAATATTGAAACTAGTCAATGGAAGGATATGAGGAGAAGGGATGCCCGATATGCCTTCGTACGGAGAAAACCGAACACTGGTTAAATGCACAAGAATTTCCACATTAAAAACTCAACTATTGCGGACAAAACACTGGTGCCCGCTGGCCTGGCGACGTGAAAGTGTATATACCAGATGGCAGATTTCGAATTGGTATACTCGAAGTTCCGACCTTAACCTTGAAGAGCATGTCTGGGAGGTTCTTAAGCGAGAGGAGGCATCCGGCTTCATAGACCATCAAATATTAAAGAATATGCTTATTGCAGTGGGAACGCAGGAAATCAAATGTAAGCTTTGTTTGCAATAAAGTTAAACTCCATAACTTTAATGTGCTAATTTATTAAAGAAATAACAAAAAATCCTGTTTCATTTTTACTTACCTTAGCTAAGTTAGCTAAGAGCCGTGATAGCTCAGTGTCCAGGCGCTCGCCTTTAATTTAATACACTCGAGCAACCTGAGTTCGATCGCCGGTGCCGGCACCAATGAAGCTTTTAACTTTAAGTGTTGACTTATCTCGTGCTCCGCGGTGAAGGAAAACATCGTGAGGAAACCTGCATATATTCGAAATAATAACAAAAAAATATCTTTCGAAGATATGTGAAGTCCGCCAATCGGTGGTAGGGCCACGCATCAGTGTTCGCTGTTACACGAATGGGCAGGTCCGTCCGGGTTAGTACCACGACCTCGCAGAAGACCGGCGTAAAGTAGAAGTGTTGCACTACTGCGTTTCGTCTGGTGAGTGAGGTATTGCAACGCGGGTGTTGCAAATGTCCATGTGCAGGCGGTTATCACTTAACATCAGGTGAACCACCACCATCCACAGTGGGGCCGCGTGGTGGACGATGCCTTGATACTCTCTGTACAGAGGAGGCCTTTGTCCAGCAGTAGGACATGTATAGGCTGTTACTCTACTTTACTGTTTTAGCTAATTTCTTTTTTTAGAACAACTATTTACTAACTTCTTTCAAGTCTAAGCACATGACTATACTGCCACTATATTTGATACATCTTATCAGATTTATGCTAATGTCTTGTTGTTAATTTATTCTCGATTAATTTTCGCATTCTATATCTTTTCAGAGTTTTTAAATATACTGAATCAAATACAAGAGACTTATGGTAAATGTGTCCGATTACATCTTCTATCCAGTAGATACGTAATTTTGTATCACCCCGATTTAATTGAGGTAATTAATATTAATAATACTGTTGAAATTATTTTTACTAAATGGAACATTCTCATTACATCTACTGAAATATAGCTATAAAACTCTTCCAAATGTGGCGTATATATGTATGTACCCCATGTAGATGATTGATAGGATGTACCCTCGGTGTCGGAGCTCGAAAATGGGCACATTGGTAACAAAAAAAACCCTTACAAATCACATCACGGAATTCAGAGCAACCAGCTTGTAAATGACAGCGAAACTTTCCACTTTTCTGGTATGAAATGTTTTCTCATGTCAGTTATCAGTACAGTAAAGGATGTAACGTATCTGCAAGAATTAAGGCTTTTCCTGATAAAGCGGTATTACTACGTACGTGTCATTACTTGATTAAAGGATCAAAAAAATAATAGTAAAGACGCACCCTGCGTAGAACAACGTGACATCTGCAAAATTGTAATTGTTCAGGACGGCCGATCAAATTATATTTTTTTTATTTTGGTTATAGTTTTCTTATACATAGCAGTTGCTATTAAAATGCTAATATTTACAGGGTATCGTCGCTCACTCCGAGATAATAACAAAAGGTCGATCGTACGGATTCCTCAAGGCTTGGCTTGGCGACGGACTTCTAACGTCATCGGGTAAGAATCAATTTCGTAGATAGAAAGAACATGTTTGGTGTTATTTATTATACTGTACTATGAATAAAAAAAATATTGAAGTACGAATATACATTGGACCGCATGCTCCAAAACCGTACGCATAAGGTAAACGCACCTATTACCGCCAGTTTAAGACAAGTTCAGATTGTCATGCAAAAAATAAGAACATCTTTAACAACTGAAATCTTTTTTATTTATTTTTTTCAATTACTAAAATTATCAATATTTTTAGTCTGATGTAAAAATAATTAGCAAAATGAAATAATAGTTAAGAAATATATTTTTGAAAAGGACTATGGTAGGTTCCCTATTACCGACCCAGAACATGGGGTATGTTCCTATTACCGTTTTTGTGGCTTATTTCCGGTTCCTATTACCGACCGCTAAATGAACAGAACAATTCGAGTTAAATAAAAATGCTCTTGTGATTAATTCTTTATAATAATGATCATTAATGCACCTCAATACAGCGTGTTATTATCAAAAGTTAAGTTTACAAATGCTTAACATAACAGCCTTTAATCACTCTTAAAAATATGTTTATTAATATAAATTATGCATTGTATGGTACCATATGATATGGCATCATATAACATTTATACAATCTACGTAAAAAAGAGAATATACAAAAATAAAATTACTATAAAACCTTAAGATTAGCAGTGTATTAAATGTTTATAGTGCTAATCTCTGCACTTTTTATGTTAGAAGATGGCAAGCGAGCAGGCGGTTCATCATTTAAATGATAACCGTCGCGAATGTACATTTGCAACACCCGTAGGGTTGCAGATGCGTTGTCCTCTTATAATAAAGTGGGCCCCGGTTACCTCATTTACTTGAAATTACATGAGTTCAAGAAGCGTTAGTGGAAACGTATATCAAAAATAGATTTAAAAATATTGCTTGCAGCATTCTTATCGCCTTATACGGGCTTATGTAGGAAATGCAAGTTTTTAAAACAACAAAAATCCGTGTTTTTTATATATAATCTTTGCTATTTAAGTTTTGCTGTATCAAATTAGAAGTGTTTTTAGTGTGCAACGCTTATATATATTTTTTTATGTATCATTAAATAAGTCGCGTTCAACATATTACAGTTTTATTTGCGATTCAAGTATTTAAGAAAGTGTCACAAATTTTTGCTTATTTTATTATATTTTTTAAGCGACTTGTTACTTTTGCGGTTTAGCTTATATGAAGGAGGATAACATGAACTTGTGCTAACATAGAATGTAAAGTACGTAAACGTGTTTAGAATAACTGCTTGTAGATAGTGCATATAAATGCGCAGTTATCTATTACATGGACGGACTTAAGTCGTATTGAATCAAAAAAAAAAAAAAAATAACCAGCTGTTTTATTTCTATATTCTAAAATAATAACCATGCAGAAAAATATTAAAGGTGTGGTCGATGAGACCATTTTCAACGTTCAACTTATTAAGAAAATAAAAGCCTAATGTGCATGTAATAACGTTATCTTTTAGCCAACATAGCTCCAAAGTAAGGCCTGGAAGTGCGTTTTTATAATTATTGGCCTGCTTTGATACAGAATCATTTAAGCCCTTCTTATCATTCACATAAAATTATCTCGAATTCCCCGTTCAAGATGTCCTGGTTATCTCAAAAAAAATTGAATTATCACAAATAAATTGAATCAGTGTTCAAAAATGAGAGGATCCAACGCATATTAACAGATACCGCTACCTGTTCTAATAGTGTCACAAAAATAGCTTACGTATAATATACAAATGTTAAACTGCCACATAAATTTCAGGTTCAAAATGGAGATCCCACCGCAAGTTCCTGACTCCGGCGTTCCACTTTAACATTCTGCAGAACTTCCTGCCGGTGTTTTGCAAGAACGAAAAGATCCTGAGGGACGTATTAACAAAGTCTGCTGATGGCGAGACTGACCTCAATTTGTTCCCGGTTATAGCTTTAGCCGCCTTGGACAACGTGACCGGTAAATGTTTGTTAAAAACCATCCTGATACATTCAGTCATCGATGCTGGTGGCTCAGTGCCTTAGTGCTTCGTGACAGTCTGTGGTGGAGGCCTATGTTCAGCAGTAGACTCGAACAGGGTGAAATGATGATGATGAGGAACCATTCTAGATTTTACTTAATGACTTACTCTAAACATAGAAAAGAATTGAAAGAAATTTATAAATTTTGTATCGTAAACGCGAACGAGAGACTTGAAAAATCGTTTGCAAAGTTTCAGAAAAACAAAAATAAAATATGAATATGCACTTTATTTTAATTACAGTAAAAGAGAATATAAATTTTGTGACGAGAATAAACGTAAGCTAAAAAGCAATTATCAAATGATGAAAACTTGTGCATCATTGTAATAAGTACGTTTATCACCAAAAGATTATAAGAGTATGTAAATTAATTTGGCAGAATTCATTTGTGTGTGTATACTTGTAAGTATGTATATAGTATTTTTAGAATCACGCTAACTCTTGTTGTAATACGTCCTTTGCAGAATCCATAATGGGCATATCATTTAACGCTCAGAAAGATCGCGAGTCAAAATATGTAAGAGCAATCACCAAGTGAGTACATACCGATATTAACTTATTTTGCTTGAAATGTTTAAATTACCACTGTAAAGATGACTTACATTCCAAATTGAAATCCGTCCGAGTAGTTTACCAACCGTCTATCATATTACAAACTTAGCAGGACACAAAAATCTTACTTAAAGGCTGTATAAGATTAGTAACATTGCAAGGTTGTCATCGTATCGTATGTTTCCTTGAAGGCTCAGTTCAATTGTCGCTATGCGCATGCGAAATCCGTTCATAGGCGACGAAACGGTGTTCGGCCTAACTACGTATAAAAAAGAACAAAAAAGAGCTTTAGAGACCGTACACGGGCACACTAAGAAGGTGATCGAGATCCGGCGGGAGGAATTGAAAAAGGCTAACATCACCTCACTGGCCGGTAACGCCGACTTTGGTGAGTATATTGGATAATACGACATTATTATTAACATTTTGAACCGACTTCAAAAAAGAAGCAGGTACTCAATTCGGAAAATTGTTTGACGCTTGTTACCTAAAGGTAAAAAGGACCTCTTGTAAAATCACTCTCTTGTCCGTCTGTCCGTTTCACCACCGAATTTCTCAGGAAAGGGTGGACCTAGCAAGTTGATTTTTATACCAAATACAAGGTCTATAGTCCGTCCGTACAAGGTGTATAAAAAGCTATTTCACAAACTCTATTAATACTAAAAACTTTATAATAATACTAAATCTATTATAATCAAATCTTGAAAATCTAACCTATGTAACCTAACCTACCTAATCTCTAACGTAATTTAACAATTTTTGGAGTCAGTACCAAGGCGAGTATCTCTGATTTGAGCATATAATTTTAATTTTGTTACACAGGTGGATTAGATAGATACGTCTAACTATCTTTTAACCTATTTATTGGATAACCGCAGTATTAATTTTTGCTTAGCTTCTTTCTATTTTTTTTTAGCAAGTTGTTATGGTGTATAACCATTACCCATGGTGAACACAGGCCAAAATTGTTAAATTATGTTAAAGATTAAATAGGTTAGTAGTTAAAGGTTTCTAAATAAATAATTGTTTTTGTATAACTTTGGTTGAAGATATTCTCATGTATTCGATGAAAAGAGCTCGTGCTTAGCCCGATATTTTCTATGTATAAGTATTATTTGTTTGGCATTATTACAATAGACAATTTTGAAATTTCTTTTACGCAGGCTTTAAGAACAAACATGCATTCCTTGATCTGCTTCTACTTTCCGAAATTGATGGTGTCAAGATAAGCGATGAAATGATAAGGGAAGAAGTTGACACTTTCATGTTTGAGGTATAACGTTAACACTTACATTTATGTTAATATTTGTATAGATATATAATTTTTAAGTGAAGTTTCTTGGAGCGCTTGTGAGTAAAATTTCAAGGCTTGTTTAACAGCAGTTGTATAGAAGTTTCTTTTTAAAAGGTTTTTCTAAACTCTAGTTATACCACCTGGTATCCCATTTTTATTACTGCTGCTATTATTAGAGTAATATTCCTGAATGTTTATAAATAATGGCACCTTAACATCGGCTCTTTTGACATCTATCGTTGAAAAAGAATAGTCAAGAAGAATTTAATTCAGTTTATTTGAATGTACTTCATGTTTATCGACCATTGTGATAAAATCTATTCCCCACAATGTAGTTAGTTAAGTTAGCTAAGAATAATGTAAAATCTGATATCTGATTGTCTATTCCCTTAAGTGAATGAGAAGTTGATTCGTTTCAAAAAATGAAAACCATTTTCACCATTTGAAAGGTACTTTAAAAAAATAATTTTATTAAAGGTGCAGCCATGCCGGGTAATTAAGCTCAGTAAAGCTCAGCTATTACGATTGCTTCCAGGGCCACGACACGACAACATCCGCCATATCGTTCATACTCTTCTGTATGTCGAGACACAAGGAAGTTCAAGATAAAGTTTATGCAGAACAATTAAACATCTTTGCCGACGATTTGAATAGAGATCCAACGTACAGGTATCATGAAATTAACGTCCAATTCTCTTAATCTTGGTTGCTCTCTGATTAATTTCTGCGAGATAAAGTATCTCTGAGCTTTTAATTTAACACCGTTCATCCCCTGAGTCATGAGTAGGAAGCAGACTATTTGGTATTTATTATACGTATTATTTTTAATGTGTATTTACCACTCATTTTTATTGCATTTTAGCAAATTTTGGCGCCATTTATTGTATGCTTCTTTTACAGCAAAGACATATTTTTGAAAATTAACAATGAAGAGCTGAAGATCAGACTAAGTGAAAGCCTTAAGTGGGACATGACCAGAATCAGGAATCTAACTTGGGCTGATGTAGAATTCAACTCACACTCCCGACAACCAGATTAACATGACCACGTTAACATATGCTTCTCATATAATACTTGAAATCTTGTGTAAATTATCGTCCCATGAGTTTAAACTCTGTTTAGTACGTGAAGTCGAATATTAAAGTTTAAGTAGATTAAACTTACGCAAGTTTTCTGTGGTACGACCACGCAACAGCCTTCATAAGGGCAGGTCCGTCCGGGTAAGTACCACGACCTCACTGAAAACCGACGTGATATTTCACGGTGGTAGGGCCACGCAGCAGCCTCGGCTTTTGCACGAATGGGCAGGCTCGTCCGGGTAAGTACCAAGACCTCACAGAAGACCGGCGTAAAGTGGAAGTATGATACTTCCGCGTTTCGCCTGGTGAGTGAGGTAGCCGGAGCCCAATTTTCAAAAGGTTGTCAACGCATCTGCAAACCCTCGGATGTAGCAGATGTCCATGGGCGGTGGTATTCATTTAACATCAAGTGAACCACCTGCTCGCTTGGAAACTTTTCACATAAAAAAAAACGTGAAGTGGAAGTATCATACTGCATTTCGCCCACTGAGAGAGGTAACCGGGGCCCACTTTATTAAACGATGGCAATGCATCTGCAGCCCTACGGGTGTTGCTATTATCCATGGGCGGTGATTTTCACTTACCATTAAGTGAAGTTTGCCACTTACATATAAAAGTAAAATTACATTTCAGTGAACTACATCAAATGAAGTACTTAGAGCTGGTTATCAAGGAATCGCTACGATTGTTCCCCTCGGTGCCTGTAATAGAAAGGATGGTTACAAAAGATGCCGGTGAGCGTATTTATAATACCAGTAGATACTTATTCGTGTGTAGCGAAAAAAATCTTTTGCACCACACATCAACGGAGTTGCGTAAAAAAACACAAAACTGTTGCAAATAAACCAATCTTAGAAATAACAAAACATGTAGCTGTCCGAAAGATTTATGCTGTAATTATTAATAAGAACAGTGCCCACATATTCAATCAACAATGCACAATATTAGTTAGACTCCTCGCGATCAAAATGGGCCAAATCAAGGGTCAAATCGTGAACTTTGTGGCATGTACATACCTACTTCTAATTTCACTTTACGTTTTCCAACAAATGAACCTTTACGACGTATAGACTTATTATATTATTCGTAAATATTCAACTGATAAGAGAACTGACGGTGGTAGTAGTTTCAAAATAACTGATATTCAGATTTCAGAATGATTGTACAGTAGATAAATGAACAAAAACTCTCGAACCTGTGTCTTCCAGTTTCACGCCTAGACGCTTATTCAACTAAACTTAGTTGGTAAAGCGTTGTATACCGCAGTGACGAAAGTTTTTGTTAATTTATCTATTAAAATCACATCTTAAGTTTTAAATTGAGTACACAGACTAAAAACAAAAAAATAATAATCAAAAATTGTAATACTCTATTTTTAAACGGTTTTATTTAGCTCGACCCGTACGGAATTTATTTGTTTATTTATTTGGGTCAAAATTAGAAATTGAAATTTAAGCACCTTCCCGTTGTCAGATTGATCTGAAATTTGGTACACACATTTAATTTAGATGACAATACAATATTGTAGTTTTCAGTGCACATAAAATAAAACCGTTTAACTTAAAAGTTTTTAAACGGTTTTATAAATCAGTAATAATGTAATATTAAGTATGAAAATCTGTGTAAATTAATTCTTAAAAGTTTAATTATGGATTAATAATCAGTGAAAAGTAAATATTCTCTCTTATTATACTTAGTAATTTAATAGATAATTAAGAAATAATGAAATACTGTAATATCTTGTAAGACAAATCATCAATGCCAAATAAAATAAAAACGGAATAAAGAATTTGCATCAGTAAATATGACCGTGAACTTTAAACGATCAATTCCCACAACTTCAAGTTTAGTTTAGGGGCTAACTAATTATGAACAGATATTAAGAATTTCCTTGTATGAAACCAGTTAAATACAATGAAATCGCTTTACGATATAAAGCGGCGTTCAATGCACGATTGCTAATTGTTTTATTATTACAAAAACTAAGCGTCAGCGGGGTAAACGTGTTTAAAGACAAAATTTGTTGTCATGTCATACATATGCTTCGGGTATATTTTAATTTCTAATGCATAACCTAGACATTGTGTTTCAACCGACTTCAAAAAGGAGGAGGTTTTTAAGTCGGTTGTACGTATGTTACCTTTTTACATTGGGTTCGGCTTAGATCCCACATGGTGCCATATTATTATCATAATTATTTTACCTTAGACTCAAGAGATACTCAGGGTTTTTTGTTGATAAAAATGCACTCCATATTCACATCTTGCTCCCCAGATGTCGCCGGATTGAGGTTGAAGAGGAACACGTCTGTGGTCATTGACATTTTCCACATGCAACGTCTGCCGGAGTTCTACGAAGACCCGCTGGCGTTCATACCGGAGAGGTTTGACTCGAAGACGCGCAATCCCTTCAGCTGGCTCGCGTTCAGCGCTGGGCCCAGGAATTGTATCGGTGGGCGGCCATCTCAACTATTATAACGCTGACTTTATAATAAACTGCGACACATGCAGGGCATATTTTTTACACGACCTATCTTGTTCCAAGCCAAGCAAAGAGTGTACCTACTAGTACAGGTGTTAGGTAACGGAAAAACACACTTTTCTGTCATAAATAAATACATATTTGGATATGAAACCAAAACACTGTGCACAGTATCTTTTTGAATAGTATTAATATTTATAGTGCTCGTATCTGCACTTAAGATGAAATTTAAAATTTAAAAGAAGCTTGAAAGACCAGGTTTTGATTGTTTTAATTACATAATATAGGTAATGTTTTTCACTAATTTATTCATCACTGACTAACTGACAATATAGGTAAATTATTTAGAGAATTAATGGATATATTTTTCTGTTCTTACTAACTGTCGCGTTTATAACATAAGTAGGACGAAAGGTCTCGATGCATAATACAGGCGCGTAGACGCAAAGGCCGGTGCTGATTATATCTTATCACAATGTATACTTAATGTAATAACCAGTTACAATAACACTTATATAACGAAAATACTACCTTGGTTTAGCCACAAAACCGCATGAATTACACATTTACCCTGTTTTTTGTTCGACCACAAATATTTGTGGTCGTAAACTACAGCCGGTAGCAATTAAGTGTAATGTATACTTGTATAGAATTTGCACATTTGTTTTCGTTCGTATGTGGTTAGCTTTTTTATTGCGTCCGCATACTCACTCTTAAGATTAGTCTTCGCGCAAAGGTCATGTAAATCGGGGCGATGAATGGAAACCGCATATTACTGGGATTTTCATGTCCTGTGTTCGCGCGAATACTACCCAAAGTTAATAATATAAGTAAATTTTCGCGTTTAATTGTGATTTTTTTCCCGTCTTTTTATTTGAGTAGCCAAAAAGATTGTTTAACTCACTGAATTGATCACAATGATCTTTTTAATGATCAGAAGTAAACAATTCAGGAATCGGGCGTAAGATGTTTGTTTTACTTCCTAATGTCAGTAATCGTTCAAGCTTGGCCTAGTTGGTTATCGTTGTTTAAAAATGTGTATGAAATGTTTACTTATTGTTTATGAAAACTAAAATACCGTTCACAGGTCAGAAGTTTGCGATGATGGAGATGAAAGTCACGCTCTCCGGCGTGATCAGGAAATTCGAGCTGTTGCCATCAAATAAGGAACCGGAGCTACTAGCTGATCTCATACTGAGGTCTGAAAACGGTGTACATGTCAAACTCACGCCTAGGCATTTGTTTTAAATTACCGTTCTTTTTTGTTTTAAGTAGTTGTAATCCCCTTCTATCTATTACGTAAGCGATTTGTATGGGGAAAGAGGGGCATTTTTAACTTAAATAATTTAAGGCCTAGCTTTATTATTATGTAATATCTATTTGTATATAAAACCATCGAATCAACTTCAGAATAATTCGCTACTGAGACCAAATCGTTATAACCAAGTATATACAATCATGATACATGTATATATAATCAAAGGAAGTGGGTAAGAATATCCGTTCGACCATTAATTGACAGTTGAGAATTGTAATAAAACGTTACCATTTGTGCCATTTTTATGTATCGGTGATTGTGCATTATGATATTACCTAAGTGTTTTTTTACATTTATATATAAGTAGTGCTTATTTATTAATAAATTGATTAAATAAGACAAAACACAGTCTTTTTGCTACAAAAAGTAACAGGTTTTTTTGTTTTACTAGTTCTTCCATGCAGCTTCTTAGCTTTTGTGTATAAAATTGTATTTAAAGCTTAGTCTTGTAATTTCGTTCCAGCTCTGTCCCACAAAAACCGTGCATTTCTGGGTACAAAGTACCTTGTGTCATTATATGGCTGACAAACTTTCTCCGATCAAATTATTGTAAATTTCCGTTGCCGCAAAGAAGGACGAGATAAATAAGGCACTCATTTTCTTATCTGAATGGATTACGTCCATATCACCCCATGGTGACACTCAGCGTCTGATGTCATCTACATTCCACGTACTGAACGCAGCAGATTGGCTTCCTAAGAGGAGATCTACCAAATCACAGAGCAGTGTTGTCGAATCACAAAAGATCATTAATTTATATTTATGCATATGTCACGGACAGTCAGAAAATAGAAACAACCACTACCCTACTCGCTTACTCTCCCTTATTTTATCGATTTATTAGTAATTATCCATAATTTCATGAACGATGCTATTTATACATCAATTTTTATTGTAACAAATAAGCTACATGCTACAGTAATAAAGTCTGCACATAATGTAAGTAGTTAAGACTAGTGTAATAAATATATATTTAATATTTACTAGATTTAATCTAACTTATATCTTTCTTATCTTTATTTTATCTTTGATTTGATTTAATCTTGATTTTTTTATCTTTTTATTTAACTTTGATCCCTTGGGAGAAAGGCAAAGCCATTGTTTGGGACGCCACTTGTGTAGACACTTTGGCTGCTGCTCATCTAAGGGGGCCGGGGTGGCTTCGTAGGCTGCTGAAGTAAGTAAACGGGGCAAAAATGAGTCTTTATGTTTAGATTATGTATTGTGCCATTTGCTGTTGAAATTTTAGGCCCGTGGGGTCCCCGCACATCAAATTTTTTTAAAAGTTTATGTCCTAGGCTTAACGCCGCGGCTGGTGACAAGAGAGCTGGTTCTTTTCTCGCTCAATGGTTAAGCATAACTATTCAGCGAGGAAATGCAGCTAGCCTTCTTGGTACCGTGCCGCGTGGATTAGGTTTATTAGATAACATGTAATTTTAGATAGATAAATATATTATATATAATAAATAATATAAAGTCAAAGTAAGATTTCATATACTTAATTATACATATACCATTATAACTACCATAATAATAAGATAAAATCAAATCAAAATCAAACGGCTTTATTGAGATAGCAGTTAGTGGCCACAATTTTGGCTCTCGCCGAGATGTAAAGTAGCAAGCATGACGGTGGATGAACGTGTTGTAAATAAGATTAGCACAGTGATTTTAGCGATAAATGAAATACTATAATCAACATCATCATTTCAGCTCGTTTAGGTAAACTGCTAAACTTAGGCCTCCCCCACAGACTACCACAAAGTACAATCCTGAGCCTTCCAGGTAATCGCTCCATCTAGTGAGAATAACTCCAAGTTTATTCTTGATCCTATAGAATAAATAAAAGTTGCAGGTATTACATGGCGGATGACAATTGACTTAGTCAAATATTATGTCTTTACCTATGAAATTGCCATTTTATATGAATTAAAGTTTTTTAGACTTTTTTATTTCTGTTATTTAAACTAAGCGCCCACGCAATCGATGCATCTTTGCCAACGTAGTGGTAATTTATTGATGCCCTATTGTAAAAATCAGCTGGACGGGAGGCTCTTCAAAGGCATTTTCCGTCTCGGGAATTGAATTTTTTCTTGCTAAAACGTTATCCAAATTTTTGAAAAAGTAATAGTCGGTAGGTGCAAGGTTTGGTGAGTATGGCGGATGAGCAAGAGCTTCCTATCCCAAATCTTGCAGCTTGAAGACTCCCTGTTGTGCAGTATGGGGTTGCGCGTTGTCTTGAACGTGCGGCGGTGAAGACCGATTGACCAAAGCTGGCTACAGATGTGCGAGCTTATCCATCATTGTCTTCAGTTACTTCACAGTACACATCTGCATTAATGCTCATGCCGTTTCGTAAAAAGTTGTGATAAATCACAACGGCACTAGACCGCCAAACAGTGACCATCATCTTTCTTGGGGTAATTTTTCATTTAGGGCATTGCCTTGGTGCTGAACCAGGATCTAATTAACATGCTGAGCACTTTCGATTGTTGAACAGAATCCATTTTTGTCGCACGTAACACATTCGGTTCAAAATTCTTTCAATTCTGTGCCTGTTGAGCAACGCGAGGCAGGTTCCAACGCATACGTTGCGATGGAGATCGTTAAGTTCTTGGGGAACCCATCTATCAAGCTTTTTACTTTGCCAACTTGTCGCAACTGGACCAATATTGTTTTGAAGCTAATATCAAAAGCTGCTGCTAGCTCAGCTGTGGATTGAGTATCATCAGCCTTTTATTCATCATTGTTGACTAGTGTCCGTGAGACCACGAGGTTCCTTTTTGCAAGTCGAAATTTCTAGAACGGAACCGGTCAAACCAATAACGGGTTGTTTGTTAGTTCTCTCCGTAAACGTTATTGATGTGACGTGCCGTTTATGCCTCGTCGGTGCTACGACGGAACTTATGTTCCATAATTAGGTACACGAATTTTTAAAGTATCGATTATAATGAAAAACAAAATTAATTGGATTTTAGAATTCACAGCTAATCAAAACTTTTTTGTTTCAAATAGCCTGAAGTTCAAAGTACTGAAGAACAACAATTTCATAGGTAGGAAGGTAATTCTGATTTTCTTACTGATCAGAATGATCAATTTAAAGAGTTTAACAATTCTTTTGGCATCTCAAATAACATTTGAATAGTCATTTGACAGCTGATTAGCTAACTTCTACGATGATCACGATCAGTGTTTCAGAAACCGGGCGTCAGACTAATAAACACTAGTGAACAACTTTCCTTTCATATTTTTTTCGCGTTTTACCTTTATTTACAGTACTTTGAATAAGCATGATTACATTAAATATTAACAGAAATCAATAGAAAATAATTTGGGGCCAAGGAGGCCTCCATTTTTTTGTTGCCTCCAGACCTAAATCCAACTCTGCTGGTGTGATGTCACTGTGGAGCAGTGTGAAAAAGGTTCTCTCAGGATGAAAATTAGCAAACAAAAAAAAACTTAAATTCTACTGGATGCCACTAAGATTTCGTTAAGAAACTTGTTTAAAGAAATAAAGGTATTCACTGTTGCTGCTCAATACATTTTTGAAAATATTTTGTATGTCCATAAAAATAAGGATAAATTTTTAAGACATAATAATGTTCATGATATAAATACTAGGAACAAAAATAAATTGATCCTACCCACAAGTAGACTGCGTAAAATAAGTAAATCTTTTATGGGACAATGTATACGTTACTACAACAAAATTCCAGAAAACGTTTAAAATGCATCAATAGCTAAATTTAAAAAAATAGTTGTTAGCTTCACTTTGTTTTATCGAGCTAAGAAGGTAGAAATATAAATACTTTTACCAAATCACCGTAGTTTCACTTTGCACAACAATAACACTGGTATAATTACTTATTTATCACTTTAATATCACTAATGAAACACCACTAACGATTTAATTTATGATACCGATTGGGCAGCACTATCGTGTATACTAAAAAAAAGCCCGCTGAGTTTCTTTCGCCGATTCTTCTCAGTACAGTGGCTTTCTTTTCCGAACCGGTGGTAGTGTTTTGACTATCAATAAGTGAGTGTAATGCTCCTATGTTGAATAAAGAAATTTGATTTTGATTTTGAAAAAAAATAAGTCTACTTTGGAGGCAAGCTATTTAAATTTGCTGAATCACAAATAAACATACTATTTCAAGAAAATCATATTCACCCTAAGGTATGTTTGTCTCTTTACTGAATAAATAGTACGGAAGGAAATATGTGAAGTATCGCGATGAATGGGAAAAATTCCGTCTGCTGAAGTATGAAGCACTATCTAAATAATGTACACCTTCGTGACGGCGAAAATCTTGTTATTGTTAGTGCCTTGGTGCCTTGCTGGTAGATGAAGCAGAATCTAAATAATGTTTCGTAAATTTCATGTAAGGTCTACGCCACCAAACAAGCTTTTATTGTTTTAAGCAAAAATTCAGTACAATAGCCTACTTTTGCTGGAAAAAAGGGCAACATCAGACCTTGCCTAGTAGTGGGTGATAAAATTCGGATACAGATACGAAAACTATATATTGGTACAATATCCGAAAATCGCTTACCGGCTCGTAAAAAGCTTTTACAATATCTGATATTTCCGAAATCCGATGTACCGAATACTCGCTCCCTCTCTATACCGACACGAATCGCGATAGGCATAAGCAAAATATATCGATATATAAAAATATCGATATTTTTCCAAATAATTATCGATAAATATCGTCGATATTTTTATTCCCGATATATCGATATTCGATATTTATTTTCGACTATCGAATTCGTATCAATTTCGATATATTTTTAACGTAACTTTGGCTTGGTGCACGTTTACGATAATATTTTTTTTCATAAAATATTAATATAGCCTGGTTACAAGACCTTTAAGCCAATACCATGAAAATACTAATTACTAATACTATTAAACCATTAGTGTGAGACATGTATGACCCTGAAGTTAATAATTTTCGGATCTTTCTTTCAACAAATAAAAAAATATTGCAAATGTAGTCATTTAAAAACTATAAGTACAATTTTTATATATTTTCTTTTATGATTTATCGCTGGAAAAAGTTTCAAATAATATTAGACGTCGGCTAACTTCAGTATCATGGGAAGTTGATGAACTAATTAAATTCTTCAACTATTTAGCGTGATACTTATGTCAGTTTGCATGATTTTATTTAACGCTGGGACGTTCAATGAGTCCAAATCATCTGCGGTTTGACTGATTAATATTTTACAATTTTAAGCAATTACAAATTAATAAATTTACAAAAATAAAACACCTTAAAAAGTTGTAAACCTAATTTGAAATGCTTCTTCGGTGTCTTCAGAAAGAGTTGTTTCAGCTGTGAATCTGACAATACCCAACAATAGAAATATTACTTTTTTCTACTTGTTTCTTCTTTTTTAAGAATTATGAATGGTTTGGAAATATAAATAATTAAAAAAATCGATATATCGATTTATCGATATTTTTCACTCGATAACTATCGATAGTTTTTAAAAAGGGCGATACGATAAATATCGATATGTTTTTTTTTACTTGCCAATCCCTAAATCGGGATATCATACGCGTTAGCCACATTATCAGTACGGCAAGCAATATAGTCGTTGTGGGGTTTTTATGGACTTTTTAAAAAATAAACATAGTGTACATTCTATTATGATCATAGTTGGCGGGAATAAAATAATAATAATTAGATTATATATTAAAAGTTTTAACGTTGAGACTCCAAACTTTGCAATGAAACTTAAAAAATTTTAAACGTACGCTTGACCTTGTAGGACTCCCTGTACTTGTACTCACCTTTATTAAATAAATCAACAATAATATTTTACTATCATATATTCATTAATTATATTCTAAAGCTATTTAAAAAATGAAAAAACGGAATACATTGTGAATTTCCCAATAATTTGAAATAATACCTATTAAATAGATAAATATCCATAATATCCAATAATTACCGTAAATATGCGATATATCAGAAATATGAATCTAGGGTGGAAACGCAAACGTAAAATATCTAGATATTAAAAAACATAGTTTCGAAATCTGATATTTGAAATCGAAATCTGATATTTGAAATCGAAATCTGATTCAGATACGGTTCTCAGAAAAAGTTATACGATTACCATCTCTAGCCTACACTGTTGGCATTGGCTAGGGCATTGGCCAAAGAGTACTTTTGTATATCTGAAATTTGTATATCTGAATTGTATATCTGTATGGCATTGGCACTGGCAGCACTGATCTGCATTCTGCAATCAATCAATATTTCAGACTAGCGCAGTTCAGATTTCAGCAATTAAACGTATTTTTAAACGTAGTGATTACATTCTCTTTGGATTTCAGTATATATGTCGAGGCCATTAATCAAAGAAGAAGAAGAAGAGTACATATGTCTTATTTAAGAAACTAACTTTGGTTAACATCAATAAACATAGTGATTACATTCTCTTTAATCAATACTTCAATAATCAATACACTCGTGTACTAGTATTTAGCTTTTATCACGATGGCATCAGAAGCATTAAATATCTCTCGACGAAAGTTAAATGAAGTTTTGGGAGAGAAATCAACAAAATACTTCAATCACATGAAGCAATGGTTTCGTATGAAACTAACGAAAGAAGAGTTTGACGCCGAAGCTCGGGCTATGTTGACCGTGGACCAAGTCCATTATCATAACGAATTTTTACTGGCGCTTTTGAATAAGGTTGAAGGTTTAGCCGAGACTTCTATTACTATAGCACAAGAAAAAGCAAATTCGCACAGTCGGAATACTAGACGGCATAAGAGGAACTCCCGCACTTCGGAGAAATCTAACTTTGAACCGGTGGATTTACTAGAATATTTGCCTCCAAACTCTCCACCTGGTGCTGGAAGTGACGGCGTCAAATACGCAACACAAGTAAAGTTATTTGCCTTTCGTTTTATAATTTAATTTATTCATTTTTAGTATTATAAAAATCAAAATTATTTGTGTTAATTTATGTTTCTCCTTTATCCAGGAAATATTTTTACCTGATCATGCTTTAGTTGTCGGCCGATTTATGCTAGCAGCATGGGAACTTGGATTAGAAGGCGCTGACGATGAAGCAGCAGATCTGATTGTTGTTGCTGTCCAGCATTTCCTTAAAAATGTGATAAGTGCAGTTATATCACAGCGCAAAGGATACAAAACAAGGAATAGGCACTTTATGTATGATATTGGAGGTGACATGCCTAACATGTGGCTACGTAACTCCAATAAGTTATATGATCCACAGAATGATGGAAGAGTGGGTTTAGATGATAGCTCTGATGTATTGGGTCCTCGCTGCCCACCCACTATTGATGAAGTTGAACAGTCAGCAGTCCACGAAATCGCTTGCAGGTAAGAAATCAGAAATTATAAATATATCAGAAAATACTTTTACATAATATGTGTAGTCCCAAATTAAGCAAAGCTACAGGTATATGGTAACTTATAAACATTTATAAAATATATACATATATAGATGAGCTACAAGTATAAGGTACCTTATAAACATTTATAAAATATATACATATATAGATGAATACCAGAAAAAATTTTTTTCAGTATGACTATGTTTTAACTGTGTTAGGGCCAGACAATCGGTGTTGTGCAAAAGGATAGGTTTTGCCCGGGGAATTACCACATCCTGTCAATACATCTGTAAGCCATTGGATGTTGTAGATTCAGACTTCAGGTGAACCGCCTGCTCACTTGATAACCTTTCATATTTAAAAAAACTATTTGGTAATGTTTACCTTTCTTTTTATTAAATTTATGCACAAAGGTCAATTATGATTAATCTATATTGTAAGGCTTTTTCAAATACACTACTATGCACTGATTATTCTTCTCTTAAATGAGATATTCGTTATTATCTGTAATTTAAATGCTTTCGAATCCTTTACTAATATTTATAATAATATGTTGAAATTTTCATTTTAGTCTTCCCAACCCTGAGCCTAATAATGACAAAATTACCATTGATGAAGTCTACAACACCCTGTTGACAAATAGAAATGTCATAGCGTGCCATTCAGTATATGCTGTTAATATGGAGAGATTGGCAGTCATGTTGAACCATCCAAGTTATTAAACAGTTTATTTATAAAAATCGAATAAGCTTTATTTAATAATAACACAATTAATACTGTTTTATTTATAGACAATACAATAAAAATAATTAACAAGATATTCATTTTATTTTGTATGTATTCAACTAAATTATAAATTAACCTTAAATATAAATAAGAAATGCAATAATTTAAATACATTAAAAATAAACATAGCATGAAATAATGGAACAATTACCTTATAGAGAAACAATATTAACAAAATACCTAATACATAGACATCAGATATCAAAGAGCCGCACGGTACATTAAAATTATGCAAAATGGAAGACTAATTCCTTCGCTTTGGGTAAAAATATTTATGTGGAGGAAACTGATTCGCTAGGCTCAGATGGCGACTGGACTACAACGGTGGGCACTAATCTCCTTCTTTGAGGAGATCCTTGCGGTGTACTCTGAGGGATTGGCCGCTGCCCCATTTCTTGTATCTCTATAACGTCACCCTCCTGATGCCGGCGAATTCCTAGAAACCAGCGCCTCTGCCATGCGACGTACCCCAAAAGTCCCAGTATCCCCGCTATTAGAATACCACCCAAAGTGAGGCCGGCCACAGACGCTGTTGACATTGCATAAAGTCCTGTACCAAGAAATGGGAAACAATTAAACATATTATATAAACGCGTCATGGAAGATTGACTGCAGTGTTAATCTTTATGGTCGCCAGTGGAATATCGTGGGTGTGGACCAAAAAGTTTTTGAGCTTATTTCACACGAAAAACACAATCACATGCACCCATTATAATCAAACAATGCGTCATTTTATTTCAAAGAGATTGCATCTGTGCAAGCAGTTCATCTGATCGTAAGTGACACTACACCAGAGAATATGTGTTGTGATATACTAGCCGGCGGTCCTTACCGATTCGAATCGGTCTATTCGTGCAGGAGTTTTATTGCCGTCTCTTTACCACCGTAAAAAAATGAGTTCAATAAAAAGAAACATCTTGATTATTAGCTCTCTATCTGTCGTCCCAGTTCGTGTTGAAAATAACACTTTAAACGCGAACGGGTAAAACAGAGAGACAGAAGACGCCAGTGATTGCCTAGTGGCGAAAAGTCTCATCTCTCAGAAATTTTGGGCCCGTCAATAGGCTTGTCACATTTTTACGATCAGGGAATTCACAAGCCCTGGTCGTAAAAAGGGAATAAATAACTAATACATGGTACTCGGGAAAAGACGTGGTTCATGATTCTAACTCGTATAACGCAGTTGCCAAGCTATTAGCTGCGGTAACGTGAGTCGTGGGTTTGATTACCACACAGGATAATATTTGTGTGACCCACAGATAATCGTTGCTGATCTGGGTGTTTATACCCAGACCCATATCTGCATTAAAACATCAATTTATTTTTTAGTACCACTACCTCACAATACCGGCGTGAAGTGGAAGTTTTATACTTCTGCGTTTTGTCTGGTGAGTGAGTTAGCCAGACAGTACAGCCCACTGTATTAAAAGATGGGAACGCATCTAAAACCCTTCGGGTGTTGCAAATGTCAAAGGGCGCTGGCTGTCCCTTTACATCAGGTAAACCGCAGCTCGTTTGCTAACTTCTCAGATAAAAAAAGAATGAAAAGATGAAACGCAGAAGTACAACACTCCACTTCACGCCGGTCTCCTGTGAGGCCTTGATATTTCCCCGGACCAGACTGCCCATTCCTGCCAACAGCAAACTGCTGCGTGGCCGTATCACAGTAAAATCCCTAGCCCATAGCAAACTATGAAAGACAATTTTTTGGGAACTTTCACGCTAAATATCAAGTGAAACTATTTTAACGGATACTGTGGCGTTTACCTATGTCCTTAAAATTAAAAATCTCTTATTAAATTTATCTTTGATTAAAAACTTATAACTGTTCGGTACGTGAAGATTCATTTAATAATCCTTCCTCTTGTATATTCACGATGTTAACGCTTTCAGTCCCGAGACTATTAAAGCTTCATCGAACGCAGAACCGGTGGCCTAGCCAGAACCCACAGATTCGAGGCCCTCCAAAGTGGGTAGGGCAGCGCATGTGCCCATGCGTGCATTGGCTGGAGTAAGGCGTAAACGACCTACGGGCCATTGAGGTTCGGTGCGGACCGTGACCCCCGATGGCCGGTGTTGTTTCCATAAATTAAAGAATTCATTGACCAATTATCACGGTAGTTAGCCTGAATAACGAGTTTTATCAAATTTGTTTGTGCTGATTACACAAGCGTAAACATTTTTATATGAAGCTACAAACCCTCCACTTCTACTGTTATAAAATCAGTATACTCCTGTCCATCAAGCGCCGCACCGCATGTCCAAATCCCTACATCTTCATATTTTACTTTACGTATGGTTACAGCACAGTCGCCGCGGTCCAGACTTCGATTTGGGGGGAAATAATATTTGTTTAAAATGGGACTGAAAAAGAACATTGCCACATGCATGCATCAAAACTTGGACAAAGGCATCATCTCTGGTAAAAAAATACTCATTGTAAAAAATCAATTTGAGGAAATTTGATTGCTGTCAAGAAATCATATTAGATAACGCCAAGATTTGCTACATAAGAGATACAAGATTTGCAAAATAAACAAAATAGATAAGAAAGATTTCGCATGGTGAGGAGCTTAGTGGCTACAGCCTCTAGACGCGTAATCTGGAGGCGCAAGTTCGAATCCTGGTAGCGGTGAAGAATTTTACGATACTTTTATCTATAAAATGATTTTAAGGGAGAGCACTCACTTAGACGCGTTGACAGTTGAATCAATGCTGAACGGACTACCGTTAGGAGGCTCGAAACGGCAGTAGCTTAAGGGAACCAATCCCTTTGTGGTCACACACTCTAAAGTGACGGCCTTTCCGTGGATCGCGGTCAAGTTGGCCCGGATCGCCGCGACATGTTCCACCACTCTCAGGTCGATCTCCTGCATCACCTCCACGCGCTTCGACTTCATCCCTATGTGGCATTTCCATTCGCCCACGTCCGCCTTTGTTGCGTTTATTTCCACGACGCAGTTGCCGTTGTTAAGAGCTAAACCGGTGATTCTGGAAAGAACGGATTGCTTTTAATTTATGATCGAGCTTACAAAAAACATTAATTTAGTAAACATTTTTGACTCTCTCACAATTAACCTAAATCTCAAAGTTAACCTACATTGATATGTTGATCAATAAGTATTGCTTACTAAACCTTATTATCTACTGAACGCCGAATAAATATTTCAACACATATTTTTACACAACGTCGTCTAGAACTAACGTCGGCCCAATCTAATCGATGCTTGTACTATGAATACAAGATAGCTGATAAACATATTTAAAAATATGTATATATATATATATAGCGTGTCGTTACCATCGCGACAATAAATGAACACACGTCTAACGCTACTTGCCAATAATCAAAAAAAAATATTAACGGTAAACAAAATCCATAATTAATAAAAAAAACATATTTTTCAAAAAAAATATTAAGGTCCCACTTGGGCAAAGGCCTCCTCAAAATCTGCGGATTGGTACTTCACATATCTTCGAAAAATTTTTTTTTTTGTTATTATTTCGAAAATATTTCCTCACGAACAAGCACTAATTCAGTAAAAAAGAAACAAAATTATTATTAATGTAACATCCTATACAACTCGCGCCACAGCGTTGTATTACAAGCCTCTCCTTCTAATAGTATGTTTTGTCTCTTTTAAATTCATTTAACCCATTCATATGCTTTGTGACCTTTACAAATGAACTTTACGTTACGCTTTTATAGGTAAGAGTGTTCTAAAATTCTTGGTTTTGGAAAATTTAATAACTCTGTAAATATTGATGTTTTAAGAATTTAAATGTTTAATACAACTTTAATAAGTTATCCCCTATATGTGGGTTCATTTATTGTCGCTATGGTAACGACACGCTGTATATATAAACACCCAGGCATTATTGTGTACTTGTTCATCACCTAATATACTTCCGGTATTGAGGATCGAACCTACACCCTCTGGTGTAAGACACAGGTTCACTACCTAGTACGTCAGATCGTCGAATAATTATTTTTAGCCGAGTTATAAACATGTAAAGTTATTTGCATTAAAATGTCAAAATAATTTTGTCGATGAAAATATGGGGGTGATGCAATCGGGTTATCAACTTTTGCTAAAGTGAGAGATTGAGTAAATAACACTAATAGGGTCGGATTAGCTTATGAACCAAATGCCTTATCCGTTTCGTCAATGTTCTACAATTTCACAAGTTGTGTCTCGTTGCTAGAAGGCTTATTCGCAAATTGGGAAATACTAAGTGCATAGCTGTTCTTCTTTGAATACAATAATATTAATGATATAAAATTTTAGTGCTTACTTTATAAATTTTAATAAATCCACTAAATAGATGTATGAACTAAATAGAGAATAATAATATACATGAAGTTCTGTTCTTATACATCTTCAACCTGTCAACTACTTATACTTTTTCCTCTATCTCTTACCCTTATCTCACCTTTTCTTACAAACAGCCGCCTGCCCGACCTGAGCAGGGAATTATTTCTTTGGAATAAGCACTATATCCGGAACAATTATCCGTGGTTCACACAAGTACTTATCCCGTGTGGGAATCTAACCCACGAGGGCTTGGTAAAGGCACCACCGGGCCATACTAAAAATACTAATACTATGCAGAACACAAAACTTATATAAAAAATATTAAAATTATTGAGCTACTGCATTCTAGTAAAGGAAATTCCAGCTAATGTATTCCTGGAGTAACATGATTGTAGACCGATTTCTTCGTACACATGTTTAGGAATGGAATCTGATCACAGGTATCACAAGTTTTCAAAATTAATTCGGTAATTAAAGATAACGGGCACAAGGTTGATTTAAGATTTTTTTTTATGTAACTTAATTATAACATGACGTATTTAATCGCCAAACATAGCTGGAAACAAGAATACTTACGAATATCTCTTCCCACTAGGGTGAAGGAAGCCGCAGTAGGACATAGGTAAGTCTGTCTTGCACCGTATGGGAACGAACTCATTTTCGAGCGCCAAAATAGTCTCGACACCGTTATAATCAAACACTCTGAAAGCTTTATAAGATATTTTATAACTCTCACTCGTAATAAAATTTTGTCTATGATTCATTAAATCCTTTGAAAATTCGCCGTACCATTAATATTTATAATAAACCCTAACAGTGTGATAAACTTTACAAATTCACACAATTTCACTATACACATCATCGAATCACGTCGATGCCAACAACAATGTTCCTTTGCTAACACTAACTACCCTCCCGCGCCATAACTGATAAGTACAATGGATATGGCAAAGGTCGTAATTTAATTTCGTATTCGATAACCGACTAGTAAGCAGCTAAATCATTTATCTTATATTAATTAAGCTGTGTAAAGTCAACATTTTATAGAAACAGTATAAAAATCTGGACATACGACAATGGGGCTGGATGACACTTAATCAAACTTCGGGTTGAAATACGGGTAACCTTTTCGTTTCTTTGTTTGTAAGACATTATTCGTTATTAAAAATGGAACACGCCAATTCGATGTGTTGTTTTTTTTTTTTATTTTGTTTGCCTTTGTTGGGCAGGACATGTCACAAGTGACTCCAGGCAAAATGGACATATGACAGAGTGAATGAGTAATGGCAAAAGAAAAAGAATTACAAGTTAAAAGATGGGCAGAAGGTAAAAAAAGTTAGAATGACGAAATTAATTAACTGATAACTCTGTGGTGCATTTGGGATTAAATTCGACTGCGGATGTCATGGGTTCGATTTCCACAATGGGCAAGTATTTGTGTAAACAACAGATAATTGTTCCGGACCTGGATCTTCTTTCCCAATAAGAGTTGATGTCAGGCAGCCGGCCGATAACAACTAACATGATTCACATGTTCTGACTTATAGTAATTTTGGTGTCATTCTGGCGCTATATAATGCTAAGACTATAGACACCTAATAAGTTGACAGAGAAGCTACTCACTTTCTACTGTTAGGTCTTTACAATTTTAAAAAATCAAATTTGTTCAGATATATTCTATATTCAATAGAATTTCTATTTTATTTGTCACCTACCTCAATAGGAAGCAATCCCCATAGTAATGTTTTGTTACAGCGAAAAAAACATCTTTATTGCGTTTTTAGTAGCGCTTGACGCCACCTAGCATACTTTACAGTGTGAAAAACTTTACAAATTAATCTTATTATTGAACAGTTCGACCGCTTAGCCAATACCCGGAAGATGCAGGTACTTATGCCCCAACGACGAGTTTCTGTCCATTGATCTACAAAACTTCACATTTTAAGTTTCATCAGAAACCATGCACTAGCACTAACACTAAAATTATTCACTAACATTCTAAAGCAGAATAATATTAGCTGGCTGTATTGGCGGCCAAAACTTTAATGAGCTCCGAAGTTCCTCCAACTTACTAATTCAAGGAAAAGGTGTCGGTATGGAATGCGTGGATTGTTGCCCTCTAGGGACTAGACGTTTAACACCTCTACAGAGGATATCCTCTGCATTCCTTAAGTCAGATTATGTGAATTTATCTTTAATTATTTAGAGATAGATTAAAACACAAAATCATATTTATATATAATAAGATAAATAAATCCATCGTACTTTCAAAATAAACGATTCTTATCTAACAGAATACTTTATTCCACATGCTTCGATTTTATTTTACATTTAAACAATTTTATGCTATGGTATCCAAATTATTTTCTTCTATGTCTAGTAGTGGTTTTCTTTCTGCCTCTCTCGCTGTTGTCGGTCGAAAGCTCCTGCTGGAGTTTCTTCAACATCTGTGGTGTGATCAGACCCTGTAAGAAGAATGTATTACATAAAAACGTTGAAATAACAAAAAATATAATTCAAATTCAAAATATCTTTATTCTAATAGACGCTTTCGCGTTCTCCTGAAACGTCGAATTTTACAAATAATTGATACATAAGTTCGTAAGTTACATATTAAATTAAGGTGAAATTTTTATGTACACATGTAACCACACCTTGCCTTTATTGTTGTTTTTCTATTTTGCCTAAAGATGGTCTTTGCATTAAAGATCCGAAAAGCACAAAATCATTGATTCACCTGTTTGGGTTATGAACAGATTCCAAAAATTGTTTTTGCTTTTGGTTCGGTCAAGTTCTCCTGTGGTTCCCCTAGTTGCTTTTGTTAATAAAAATGTACTTGACTTCCATTGTCTGATGAATTTACAGACAGACAAAAAAATCGGTGTAAAATTGCACAAAACTGTGTTACTAATACAACATAATATATAAAACAATATCGCTTACTTTCGCGACGAGCATGTCCGACAGCTTGCCTTTGGGCTCGTCGCCCCTGGAGTGAGGCTGTGACAGCCTCGTCGCCTTTTTCCCGCGCCCGAACGCCTCCACATCATTACCCTCCTTGAGGACCTGCTCAGAGTTCCTTAGCAACCTGCCACCGAAGGATTAGCCAATTAACAGGTTACAGTTTACTTTCCAACCCATTGGGGCAATTGCCTTTTTACATAATATTAGCCTGGCTGGCCAACAAGTGCATCATCATCCATGTTACTCTAGTACTAGTATTGTTGATATTTTATTATAATGTACTAAGGTAAAAGACCCAGTTATTGACCCTGACCCAGTTAGTGACACTTCCAACGTTCCAACGTTATTTTAAATTTAAAATAAAAACATTTTGTTAAATAGTTTTATAATTTTTTTTAAAATTTAAATTAATTATGTACGTAATTAATTAAATTTCCAACCGTCAAAAAAAAATAACTTTCTAAAAAAATTTTTTTAAGTGTTGAATGACTGTGGAAGCCATTTTTAAGCTATATTCTAAGCAGCATCATACGTAAGAGCGCTTGTCGATCGAATCAGTCAATTATTTATCATGTAAGTATCAAAATATAATAAAAAATATGTAGATTAGTTAATGATTATATATTATTTTGTTTTTAATTATAATATATTACATTAAATCACATTTATGTATTAAAATGTGGGTGTCATTAACTAGGTTCATTATTTTAGAAATGCCACAGTTATTGACACCCCTATTCTAACCTATTATCGAGGTTATTTGGTTGTTGGCGTCTGGATGAAAATTTAAATATTTATATATATTATACTTAATATATTATAAAAATATGCTTTTATCCATAATTGTAGTATAGTACGAATTAACATTAATTTTTTTTTAATAAGAAAAATATATTTACATTAAAAATACTTCATTAAAATGTAAATAATTTATACTTTTATTTTCATTATAATTTTGTGTTGATAGTACAAATACTTTATTTACTTGTTTTTTTTTTTTTCCACGGACCAACCCAGTCGCAAGTATTATCTGAAAATGAAGGACCAACCCAGTCGCAAGTACTATCTGAAAATGTAACTGGTAAATCTTCACCTTCGCGTACTTCGCGTACAAAAATGCTTTTTTTTGGCCCTCAAAAGACAAAGATTTGAAAAAACGTAAAGCCAAGGAAAAAATTCCAACTGTTTATACTTCTGAATTATGGTTAAAATACTATGAGAATAAAGAAGCAAAGAAACAGAAACTAGAAGATGAAAAGGAACTTAAAAAAGCTAAAAGGCAAAGAAAACAAGCAATTAAAGAATCAGAAAAGATAAGAAAAACTCGAAGAAAAGAAGAAGAAAAAGTTGTCAACGAAGCAAAAGAAAAATCATTAAGATTAATTTTAAATATTTGTAACAGTTTTTTTATTTGTTAATAATACTTAAATGTAACAAAAAACTGTTTCAATTATAGTAAAAGTTTAATATCTTTTATTGAATGAATTTCGTTTATTTTAATTAAATAATGTAAACCTAATCGATAATGTATAATTAAATGAGTGTCACAATCTAGGCCGACGTCAGTGTCAGAAACTACAACACAAGAAATTTTGAGTGTCAGAAACTAGGTTCTACAAGGTCACTTTTTAAAACATTAATTTAAATTATAAACTGATTCCATATCATTCTTTCGCGTTTATGATCTTTTCAAGAAATTTAAATTTTTTTTATGGTGTAAAAATTATTTACTCCAATTAAAATATTATAATAATTATTGCATTATAACCTCTACCGTCACTCTTTAGAGTGTCAGAAACTGGGCCCTTTACCTTAGTAGTATTTTATCATAATCACCTAAAATAGTATTTTATCATATCATATCTGGCGTATACTTTGCATTAAACAGCGCCGAAAGATCATCGGACATCGGATTTGAAACATTATAGAGTGGCAATTTGAAGAAACAGAAAATTTTAATTTAACCCCCAATACCTGGTTATTTGGAAGATGCCCTGCTGTATTATTGCGTCCAGCTCGTTCTCCATTTCGCGGACCAGCTTAACGTCCGGGAACATGTCCGGGAATCGGTAGCTGCGGATGGAAAGCATCTGTTATTAATTATTTATCAGGCTTATTACTAAGTGAGCCGTGATAGCTCAGTGTCCGAGCGCTCGCCTTTAATTCAATATACTCGAGCAACCTGAGTTCGATCCCCGGTACCGGCACCAATGAAATTGTTAATTTTAAGCGCTGACTTATCATTGGTGAATAAAAATATCGCGAGACTTGCATATTTTCGAAATAATGACAAAAAGATATTTCGAAGACATTCGAAGTCCGCCAGTGATGGCATGTTGGCATATGTGAAAGCCTTTGCTCAGCAGTGGGACATGTATAGGCTGTTACTTTACTTTACTTTACTAAGTAATACTACTCACTTATTGTACCTCGGGGGATAATAATAGACAGTTAAAGATACTTTTTCAACAAGTCAAGGTTATCTGATTCCGTGGACATCTACAACACTTGAGGAGTTACAGATGGCTTAGCATCCTTCAATGAAGCGGGCCCCAATTACCTCACTCACTTTTATCGTTTATGAGGCCCAAATGAGCGCGCTCAATCATGCAACAGCGGAAACTGCTACATGGCCCAACCACAATAAACTACTAACAACAAGCTTGCTATTAGTGTAAATGTAATATGTTTTATTTTTTTATTATAGTCAGTACCATCCTATTTGATTGAGTGGTGATTTGGTGACATACACCTCATGTGGACTGGTGGTGGGTTTCAGCATTTGTTAGTGGCTGAAACTAGGCTTGTGGTAATAAAAGAAATTTTGGCTACGACATGTGTCGGAACATACCTCAGCCACAGGTAAAGCTCGAGGATATCGAAGACCGCCTCCAGATGCACGAGGTCCATTATCGTCTTCGGCGAGGGCATCGGCCAGTCAACAGCATTACTGAGCCAGTTCTTCGTGATCGGCTCGCTTCTGCTGTACTGGCGTACCATCTGTGGAAGCATTTGTTTGTTAGTAGAGCGATTTACTGTGGTAGGCCACGCAATAGCTTCTGATGTTCCACGAACGGGCAGGCTCGTGCGAGAAAATACCACGACCCTTCAGAAGACCGGCGTGAAGTGGAAGTAGTATTGTGCCCAGTGGGGCCCACTTTTTTAAAGGTTATCAACGCATTCACCTAACATACGAAACGTCTGCTCGCTTTACAACGTTTCACGTAATAAAGTCATGTAATTTGCGAATGCAAAATTTAATAAACGTATGCGGAACCAATCTTACATGCGCCTAAGTGAAGTTGGCTCCACGGATTCTGTGTGTACACTTCCAAATGTGGATATCGCCTGACAAAACTACCAATATCTAAAAAAAAGCTATGTTCTTAGGAAGTTATTCGCGACTCTGACCATAGCTTGTGACCAACGTGTAGTCCGAGCGCGACAAAATGCGATTAATACTAAGACGAACTTCGGAAACTAATTGAATGCGGTACTGAAGAAAGAGCGGTTATTTAAGTTCCCTCTATAGTTGGCACTAGTGTCTCAATAGCTTCTTTGTTAGAAATTTAAATTGTTTATAGTGCTAATCTTTGCACTTAAGATTGACTTTTTCTACTTTACTCTCTTAATTTTCTACATATTTTAAGCTTCTTTGTTGCTTCCAATACTTCTTACTGTAATGCCAACAACAAAATATTATTTGCTTTGTGAATATCCATTTTTCTCATCATCACATTCATATTGTGTGAACATTTTTAAACGATAGCGTTGATTTTTGCATTTGTCAATTTGCATACAGCCCGCGGGGCTAATCTCATTTGGCGAATTTAGGTTGAGGTGTTTTAATGATAGTGGTTGTGTGATGGTGGTGGTTGTGGCGGGTCATGGTCGGTGGTGGTGGCGGGCCAACGACCTTGAGGAAGGTGGCGCAGACGAACGGCAGCTTGTTGTTGATCGGCGCGCAGCAGAACACGTAGCGGGCGCGCAGGGGCAACGGCACGTGCTGGATCATCTCCGCCAGGAACTTGAACGCCTCCGTGTTGCACATGAAGTACAGCGAGTCGTCCACGGTGCAAAGGTGCACGAAGATGTCCTGAAGTGTGGCAGAATGAAAGTGTGGTAGGGCCACGCGGCAGCCTCGGCCGTTGCACGAACGGGCAGACTCGTCCGGGTAAGTGCCACGGCCCCACAGAAGACCGACGTGAAGTGGAAGTATAATACTTTCGCGTTTCGTCTGGTGAGTGAGGTGGCCTGAGCCCAATTTTCGAAAGGTTGTCAACGCATTTGTAACCCTCGGGTGTGGCAGATGTCCATGGGCGGCGGCATTCACTTACCATCAGATGAAACGCCTGCTCGTTTGACAACTTTTCGCATAAAAAAGAGAAGTAGAAAATATTGACACATATTGTTACGCCAATGGTATCGTTGTGCTACTATTATTTTTATCATTAATGTATTTATTTATTTATGGATTTTTTACATTTTATGTGTGTATGTGTTTAATTACTTTTGTATATTATATAGTAATACATATAAATAATGCCGCGCAACGCCTCAAGTTGACTGGGGAAAATGCCAAAAGTAATTCTAATCCTTTTTTTAAAGTAATTGCAATGAAGAATAAATATATAAAAATTATAAATTATACATTGTGAAATGAAACTGTCCGTCCTGTGACCTTGAACGCAGGAAGGGGTTCAAAACGACGGTAATTTATAATGTAATTAAACGATTACGATAAAATTCCTAAAATAGTTTGATTTCACAATAGTAAAACAGTTAAGAAGGTGACGAGAATACAAGTCTTTCATCTGCTAGTTATTGGTAAGCCTTAAGGTGTTGCATGCGTGTTTACAAGCGAAGAAGGCAAGGCGTCTCGAATTACCTCACTAGACGAAATACAAGAGTACAAATACTTTTACTTAAGGCCGTTTTTCAGGAGGCCGTGGTACTTACTCCCCAAGTCAAAACAGCTGGCATGTGCCCCTTCTACTAAGAGTGCGGTTATGGGTAGTCATAGTCCCAGCGATTGCAAACATTTTCGGGTGTATGTAATTGCAGTAACATCGTTTCGATAAAATTATGCGAAAAAATTTACTCCTATAATTTTTCCAAACTCACCAAAAGAAGTATAACTTCACAAGATATTAATACTTGAGACAAGTTATTTTTACATCAAAATATTACTATTTTTATTGGAACTGATAACGATAACAGAACATTTAAAATTGACATTCATAACATCACTATTGCACACCATGAGGCTACTGAGACTCGCGTGGGGCAGATGGTACGCGTACAGCTCCATCTGTTCAGCGGTGGGATGGAGTCCGGCCTGAGTTACTGGGTCCGAAGGCTTAGAAAGCAATGTCTTCAGAGTGGCCATGTCCTCCGGCTTGTATGCAGTCACATAGCCAGTCTCCCAAGCGCTGCCGTACCTGCCCGCCCTGCCTGTAACATAATACAGGGTGGATTTTCCAAAGGTGCCCAAATTCACACAGGATGTTCAGACTCGGTAGTATAATGTTTGATTGAAATAAAAACAAACTTTTTTTTTTTTTCAAAAAATTGCCATTCCATTCCCATAAAAACAGAACTTGTCGACAATGCGGTAGTCATTCGTAAATTGCTCGTATAGTTTTGAAACGAACTTGTGTGCGTGTTAGTTACGAATTATGGCGCGTAAAATAAATGTTGCAAGTTGGAACCACCGGGGATCTTGGGTTCGATTACCACACCATAATTCGTATGACCCACAGATATTTTATATTTTTTTATTTTTTCGGATCTGGGTGTTTGTCCACGAGAGATTTGTGTATGTAAAACGTCGTTGTAACACGGGATAACTCTATCCTACATAAGGGGTACGATATTGAACTGAAGGCTAAAATAGATCTTCTTGGTCACAGTGGTCGTTGGGTCTTACCACCCAAACACTTCCACAGGATATACAACATACACTATTCATTAAAACGTTTCATGGTCCTTGGATTTGATAAAAAAAAAGTATTCTTGTATCTTGTATTAACTGATGTTGTCGCTTTCAGTCCCAAGACTATTAAAGCTTCACCTGACGCAGAACCGGTGGGCTGGCCAGAAACCAAGGGTTTGGGCCCTCCGCTGTGGGTAGGGCCACGCATGTGCTCATGCGTGCGTTTAACTATGGTCTGTCATCTAAGAGCCATCGAGGTCGCGGATCGGAACGAAACCCCGATGGCCGTAGTCTGTGCAATTAGCTAATCGGTGGCTGGGAGCGGTGTGAACCGCCCCGGAACGCGGGAGAAAAAACATTTATAACATAAGACAGTCAAATTTCTTTTTTCTGCCCTTTGCGCTTTGAGACGCAAGCCGCATATGACTGAAAGCGTAACAGTTTCATTTTTTGGCTTTTAGTTGGTCCATGGTCTAGTTTTCTCTGTTGCACGTACGGACAGGTCCGTCCGGGTAAGGACCACGACCCCACAGAATACCCACGTGAAGTGGAAGTGTTATACTTCTAAGTTTGGTCTGGTGAGCGAGGTGGCCAGAGGCCGCTTTATAAAAAGGTATTGTTAATGCCCATGGGGTTGCCACTGACCGTCAGTGTACCGACAGCCCGCTTGCCACGTTCTCATGTGTTCTTAACGTGTTTTCTACGATACACTTAGTAAACACACCTGCAATTTGTAAAGCCTGCGATATACTGATAACATCCATCTCTTTATCTCCATCATCATTGATAACGGGTTTAATTAGGGAGTAGAATATAATCCGCCTTATACTCCTGTAAATTACAATAATAATCATTAACAATCTGATTTGTAATGGTAGGAAAAAAATAAGTTCTTTTAATATATATATCTAGAAAATTTATAACTTATATAAATGATTATAATAAACATTAATGTAAAAGGATAAAATTTTACATTTTTTTATTAATCATATAGGCTATAATCAAATTTAAACCATAATTATTTGGATTATCTATGACATTATTTCATTAAAAGGCGGTCAAATTGTGAATCTAAATAAAACGGCTTACAGATTAATGCCAAGTCCAATAGCATCAGTTGCAACCATCACCTTGCAGGAGCTCTCCGGATCGTTGAATTTATTCGCCTGCGCCAGTTTCGTGCCAGGTGGCAGACTGCCATATATAACAGCGACTTCATGACCCCTAAAACAATTATGACACTTAGTTATAACCAACATTTAAAGCATTGTTAATTAAATTTCATACGTCCATTATTACACTCAACTTTAATGCATTTCAATTCTCATTTTTGTGTTAAATAAACACATGTTCCATTTGTAACATATGACAAAAAAGTTAAGACATTTATACATAGTATCGTATTATGACAATCAAAATAAAATTCTCATTTACAACTAATAAGGTATAAGAAACGCAAAAATGGAACAGTATTTTACAGTAAGCTCCTTAGATTGGATACCTGCCTCATGGGACTGACCTCTGTTCAATCGCTCTGCTTACACTGTATATGTCATTCTTATTGAAACACACTATGCAATCCCCCGGCTTAACATTGTCTAGTGATCCCAATGCGCAGTCTTCAATGTTCAGTTCCGTTAGTCTTTTATATGTTCGTACCTACAAACAGTCCATGTTAAAAAGTAATATTGACAAATGCTGTGAAAAATTTTTGATCCATTTAATACAGTACAGAACAACCTCAACCTAGATTTTTTTAGTGTCACTACTAATTAACTTATACAAATTTATTACTTATACCATAAACTTTATTATAAGACAATATTGCTCATATTAAAGTATTGGTAAGTTAACGAATTAGTTTATTAGTGTAAGTATGAACTGTAGAAGATCAAAGACACAAGTTACAAAATTCATTTAATCGAGTTATCAAGGCCCTCACCTCAATCTCTTCACCTGTAGTATAACAAATTTCTTCTATGAGATTAATGGCACCTGCTTCGCCACACAAATGGATTTCATTTGCCTGAAGTCCTTAAAATTTTTATCTCATGGTTAATATGGTAGATAACAAACAATTCTACATAGAAACATATAACTTTATTAGATTACTCCCTAATCCTTCCCATAAAATCGTGAAATATTAAATCATAAATGGAGAAGAAATATCCTTACCTAATACAGCTCTTGTCCAAGCCCAACCTCTCCCTCTATCTCCAATCATCTGTATTTCATCAATGATGGCAACTTCATCTGTAAAAAGATGTATGTATGTTCGTATAAATATTAAATTATTATAATGCTAAAACACTGTATCAATATAAATAAATCAATAATAAGAGTAATTTTTTTCTTGCTAGTATCTGCACTAAGTTGGAATTTTTAAAAAAATTGTAGAAAGTAGCATGAAAAAGTTGTTAGCCACTGGTAGGATTTGAACCTGCAGCCTGCAACCAAACCACGAAACAAAAGGGATAACGCGCCCAATGCTCTAGATGAAAATCCTAACTATTTTTATATACTTTTTAGTTGATACTTATGTTGTAGATAGCCTAATGGCTGGGAATCAACTTATGACAATGTGTCGACAGTTACACATTACAAAGTGGTTTAATCCAGTAATTTAGTATTGTCATTTCCCTAGCCTAGTGAATCTCCTAGTACTAAGTTATTGGCAAAATAACTGACATTTCAGTGGAACCATAGTAGGAAAAAACGTGTTTTGAGTTTGATCAGTGTTTTAAATTTTTGATGTTAAAGTTCGTCTTAAATTTGTCTTAAAATTTGTGTCTGGTGCACAATTCTACAGGATGGCTTATCTAAGTGTATCCATTTTTTTAAATTAAATTCTAGATATACCTAATGTTTTATAAAAAATATATATTTAAATTCACTCTTAAGTAATTAATTACATTCATTTGAACTTATGTCAAAAAGTGCGTGATTTATACGCAACCCATTTATTTTACGCGCGATCAATTCATAACTAACACGCACACAAGTTCGTGCACAGTAAAATTTAGGTATTTATGAATAACTACCGCATTGTCAACACATTCTGTTTTTAGGGAATAGAATGGCATTTTTTTTTTGGAGAAAAAACTTTCTTTTTATTTCAATAAACGATTATACTACCGAGTCTGATCCTCCTGTGGTAATTTGGGCACTTCTCAAAAAATCTCCCTGTATATTGTAACATAATTGCAGCTGTAACGTACTTCAAGTAAACAATGGACTTCAATTGCTTTGTACAGTGATAGTTTATAAATATTTACAGATTTCATAGTATTATATGGGGTTGATATTGTTCTAGTGAAAATAGGCCCAATTAAATTCATCAAAAACATTGTCATCATAATGAATAAAATACATAAGTATATGTTGAAACTTACAAGTTTCATTTAATGAGGTCATCTCCACCGTACAAGCAACATGATTTGATGGAGTGAGTTCTGGTTCGCTTAATAAATAATTTTCACCCTCTGAATTATTTTCAACTTCTACTGTTTCAAGTAAGGTTTGGTATTGTGATGCATGCCGCCTCTCTTCACCTGTTATGAGATCACATGGTGTACCCTGTAATATTCACATTTGCATATTTGACCATGTACAAACATGGAGTTATACAACTTATTTAAAATACCAGTTATGCTTGCTCAATATACACTTTTCATTATTTATACTGTTCTTTGTATTACATAAAAAGCTTATAAAATACAAAATAAAAAACTCTGATCTCCCAAAATATGGCGAAAACAAGGAAACATGTACTTATAAATAAACAAATTCTAGTATACAATATAAAATTACAAATTGACATTATGAAAGGCAAAAACATAATAAACATAATTTCCAAAACCATAAAAAATAAACAAATGTCCAAGTGAGAAAAAATATGTATTCTTTTAAAAAATAATAAAGTAGTTTTAATCTTTTGCTTTCTTGCACTTCATAAAATAACCCTTCTTACTTTACTATTTGACTTGTGATATATCTCTGTTGCCAGCAATTTTAAAGGTCCACAGTAAACACCTGATTTTGCTTTTAAATACCTCTCCATTGCATGATAAGTTTTGCCAGAATTAGTAGGACCAGCATGAAATATTATTTTTCTATTTAAATTACGTGCTTGAGGATACCTGCAATAATTTTGAAAAAAATACAGCCCCTACTACTTTTTAAATAATATTTATATAGATTGCAAATACTATATAAATATTATTTAAAAAGAATCTCTAAAATTTAGAGAAAAATTATGTGCTTTTATATTCATCAACATAATATCAATAATTAATGACATTATTAAACAGTTGTAATTTTCTTACCAGTTGGCAGGTGTTCTTAGATCAGATATTTTTTTTAAATCATCCAAACAGTCCAGATGAGGGAATGCCAATCTGGCATGCCGAAGAAAATATGGGAATAAATCATCAACATGGCCAGCGCCTAGAATAAAAAGGAAAATATTGCATTATCACTGCATAGTACAAAACAGAGTCGTCCCACTGTGTCTGTCCCTATGTATGCTTAGATCTTTAAAACTATGCAACGGATCTTGATGCGGTTTTTTTTTACTAGATAGAGTGATTCAAGAGGAAGGTTTATATGTATAATAAATTGCACTCATGCAAAGCCAGGGCGGGCTAAAATAAAATAATTTCTTATAATTTTAAAGTGTTAATAAATATAAAAATAAATTCATATTTGTAGTAAGTTTTATTTACTTTTGAAATCAGAACATACAAACTTGAATATACTCTTGGTATTTAATAATTAAATAATTATTTTATTGATTGTAAATTAGTTAATGTAGCTTACCATGTAAAATATCACTAATGGTTATGTGCAAATCTGGAGGTAAATCATGTTCTAAACAATGTCTTCTAAATGATAAAAATGCCTGATGCAATAGTTGATCATCTAAACCATTTTCTGAGGCAAGCACTCTAATTTCTGGTTTCTGGTAGAATTTGTTAAGAATTTTTAATAAATCTTGTTTTCTTAATCGACCTGTGAATTCCTCTCCTATATTTATGTCATCAGGATTTGGCTTTACTGGTACAGGAGTGAATAGCGTGGAGGGGCCACCTCTATCATGTTTTTTCGTTCTTTTGAAAACATAACCTACATACCCTAGGCGCCCTTTTTGATTACTCAAAACAGAATTAAAAATTGGCGATATACTCAGTTGAATTTTATCAATACAATAGAAAGTCAACACCCGCGAAAACCCTTTATACATTTTATTTTATTATTCTGTAAAAAAAATGCCAAAAAAATATTTTGCTGTCAGTCACATTGTGTCACAAACAACCTAAGTGTTTCTTAATTCTTAAATAAATGACACATAATCAAAAGTTGGCTCTTCCTCTGCCATAAGAGATTTTTTTTTGTGAAGTGACAGCTTTGTTCATGAGTAGAAGATCATTCAGGAGAGAGTAACGTCCCTGGTGCACGACATCGAGATACGGATACGATGGATACATACATATACAATCTTTGTCAAGGTGATCAGTTCTTTAATTGATGTAATCTCACCTTACTTTGCAACTATTGTTAATATTTGTATTCTACGTGGCGAGTTTCCTGACCTTCTGAAACATAGTAAGATCATTCCGGGGTTCAAATATGACCCCAATAATTTTATACCTATCTCTGTACTGCCAACTCTTATTAAATTTTTTGAAAAAATCATGTTGAATCAAATGTTAAAGCACTTTAGCTCTCATAATTCATTACATAACAAACAATAGAGCTTGTTAAATTACAATTAATTAGGGGTCGCTCAACAACTGATGCGGGTGTTCAGCTCGTTATGAATATTTTTGAAGCGAGATCTCCCGGGCCCTGGTAAATATGAAGTTCCACAAAGATCTATTCTTGGGTCTTTTCTCTTCCTCATTCACATAAATGATCTACCTTATCTTGATAGTAATAATCATGAGGTAGTATTGTTTGCTGATAATACCTCTTTAATTTTTAAAGTAAAACCACGTTTTTAAATTATGACGATGTAAACAATACTCTATCCACTGTAGTACATTGGTTTAGTACTAACAATTTACTGTTGGATAATAAAAAAACCTGAATAATATATTAAATTTACAACTTCCAATGTGAAACATGTAAAAACTGATGTACTTTTATATGGGGAAGCGTTAGACCCAATTGACTCGACTGTACTTCTTGGTATAACTGTATAACTTGGTATAACTATCTTGCCAAATTGCAATGGGCCACCATATTAATAGGCGAGTAAACTTAGCTCAGCAGCCTTTGTGGTGAAAAAAATTAGACAGTTGACTGTTGTGAATACGGCTCGTCTGGTCTATTTTAGTTATTTCCACAGTTTAATTTATCTATTGCATTCTACTTTGGGGAAATGCGACCGACATAAACACCATATTGCAAAAGAGACCTATTCGAGCAGTTTATAACCTGGGCCCCAAAGAATCGCTAAGAAATTTGTATAAAAAATAAGAATATTTACTGTAGCTTCTCAGTACATACTTGCAAATGTTATGTATGTCCATTTAAATAAAAATGACTTTCAAGATTTAGTAATGTGCATGATGTAAATACTAGGAACAAGTATATATTAGTTCTACCCTTAACTAGATTGCGTAGAATAAGTAAATCTTTTATGGGACAATGTATACGCTTTTTGACGCTGTTGCTAAATTCTAAAAATTGTAAAGGAATGTTTCTGTCTTAAAGGCTAATAGAGTATTAGTGATTATTTGAATGATAACACATTCTGAAAATGAAATGATCGTTCCAGGCTCTTTTAAGTGGAATTTAATAAATTGAACACATGTTTGTTATTATTTTTGTCAAATTACGTTAAAAAAAATAAGCCCCGCTGAGTTTCTTTCGCCGGTTCTCCTCAGGTCAATGGCTTTTTTCCGAACCGGTAGTAGTGTTTTTTAACAATCAATAAGTAAGTGTAATGCTTCTATATTGAATAAAGATATATAAATTTGAATGTCCGTTCCTGTGAAACTCGGCAACGCCTGACGTGGTACGTAAAATCTCTTAATGGAGAAGAAGAGAAAATACAATCAAGAAAGAATCACCTCAGATACGAAAATAATTCAAAATCAAAATCAAAAATATATTTATTCACATAGACGCTTGCGCGTTCTTATGAAATGTCAAAAATTTTACATAAAAATTAATACGTTCGTAAGTTACCACCGAATTAAATAATACTCATTATTTATTTATGTAATGATTAAGCCATTTACGCAAGTACAAGATATTGGGAAAAAATAAATTTTCAAAAACTAAACAAGGCCTATCCGTTCTGTACTTTAGAGAACATTCTATACAGATTGGCTTCATATCTTCCACATTTCATTGTTATACTTTTTTCCTCGGGACGCAACATACACCGGAGTATTATCCCTCTGCAATGTGCAAGTGGCGAACCGACTTCGACCCGGAGAAGAGTAAGGCGATCCTGTTTAATTGTCGTCAAATTATTCGGCCAATTCGAAAGTAAGGCAAAATGGAATTTGCCTTACTTTCGAAATGCCTTTTCGTAACTCTAGATATACTCATATAGAGCGTGTCGTTACCACCGCGACAATAAATGAACACACATATAGAGGATAACTTTTTAAAATTGTATTAAACGTTTACATTCTTTAAACATCAATATTTACCGAGTTATTAAATTTTCCAAAACAAACAATTTTAGAACACCCTTACGTATGAAACTATAACGTAAAGTTCATTAGTAAAGGTCACAAAGCATATGAATGGGTTGAATAAATTTAAAAGAGACAAACCATACTGTTAAAAGGAGAGGCTTGTAATGCGACGCATTACATGCGACGCTGTGGCGCGAGTTGTATAGGAAGTCACAAATTTTGTTTCTTTTTTAATTAATTAGTCTGTTTGAAAAATATTTTTTTAAATTTTTTATTAACGTTAATATTTTTTTATGATTACTGACAAGTAGCGTTAGACGTGTGTTCATTTATTGTCGCGATGGAACGACACGCTGTATAATAAGCACTTTCGCACTGTAGCTAATAACAAAAATCTAATATCTCACCTGGTCCAGGGATAATACTTATCCTCGGAAAAGGCCTGCCCTGGGTGGAACAGGCGGATGATATTTATTTATTTATTTTTAATTTAAATTTATTGTTTACACCTCAACTTAAGGCTAAACAAAAGGCAAACTTAATGCTAATAAGCATTCTCTTTCATTCAACCCTGGGAGTAGAGAAAGTTTGACGCAGAGTTTTGCAAAACAAAATACGCGAAATAAATTAAAGAAAAATAAATAAAAGAAAACAAAAAAAGCAAAGGTACATTCTATAGAAAAATACTTTACTCAAAGATAAATACTTTATATATAATTATTAAATACATATAAATTTCAATACATAAACATTATATAAAAGAAATATAAATATATATAGGTGTGATAGTGACGATCAGAACATATGTGCTGGATAAAGTGGTGCAATTGATGGACCAATTGGCTTGAATATCTGGCCCTAGCGCAGAAATGCTCGTCGGGATTTTTTTAAGGTTACAGATCCACCGAACTTGAGGTGGAGGGGCGCTGAGGGCGCCTAACTTGTACCTCTAGGCTCCCGATAGAGCCTCTGTACACGCCGTCACGGTATTATTATTTTCCTAGTTAGCGAGGCCGCCAAGCTCTTAGGTCGCTTTGACGCTCCATAGCGTAACTAGGCTAAAGGGTCTCCGAGAGGGGATCTCGGCTTGGGTTGTTACTCAGTACTCGTTTAGCATTCCGATTCGAGTATTCGAGATAGGTAGCAGTTGTTTGGCTAGGAGAATTTCTAAAGCTATCATTATTAACATTTCGGATTTCTTGGTGCTGGAGGAGAAGTGGCGGAAGAAACTCCAACGCTTTTATCATAAACGGGGGAGAAACTGCCAGGTACGTGGTGGAACTGCCGTAATTCAACGTTAAGATGTATCAGAGCTTATCTTATTGATGCCGATGACCTGCTCTACCTTCGCCGTATCGGGGATGGTGTAGCTATCGATAAGTACATTAAGTTGCTAGTCAACGCTGTCGGCGAGCCATTGAGCTTAGTCACAGGAGACGTTATCTGATTTAAGATTACGTTAAATCCCGTTTTTTTTGTGTCCCAACGGATGTTGATATTATATTATAAATACAGCAACACTCACTGAGTGAGTGTCATGAGTCATGACGTTGTTTGTTGTGGTATTTTTTGTTTTTATTCTAGTCTGTCAATCTATAGTATAGTACAGTATTTCTATTTTTTTATTTAGTTATTTCTGACAAAAGTATTTGTACTGTTCAGTAAAAATTACATTGTCTAATAATGACAGAAGTTTTGCCCGTTGAAGAGGCTCGGCAGGATCGCATAGAAACTATTTTAAGAGGCTTTCAAATGTATCCTTTTTCAATAAAATCTTTGTGTAGGTACCTACACATATGGATGAGCTGAATAGTATATATCAACCTATTAAAATTTGTGTTAAATTTTCGAAATTAAGTAATTAATTTAGTATGAAAGCATAAAAACTAATAGCCTGGCACCTTAAGTCTATAAATTTGCATTGTGCAATGTGTGCGTAGCGAAATATTCAATAAAATTTTCGTAAAACTTGCACTAACATTTTACGGTCTAGTACGATAGCTAGTTTGATTTTTCCTTATCATATCGATGGCGACAATTTTGCCGAAATGAAAATTAAATATTAAACATGTATTATTATGTGGATGTTTTTTATGTATTTTTATTACTCTGATTTATACACGCTTTTAAAAGTATCAAATACATAAATAAGTACCAAAAATATTTAAATAAAACAATAAATTATTAATAACAAGGTATATTACAGGGTATATTACACATGGGTATGTAATATTGTATTGAATGACTGTACATAGAATATTTTTTTACATAAAGCCTATAGCAATTAATGGGCATGTTTTCTTGCACTAATGAGAAACTATGGGGCCTAACTATTTATTTTACAAATGCCAACCATTATTCTCAGCATCACTAGGAGTACTAGAGCTAACTCAAATGTGTATTTAATAAAATTAGAGCGTATTTCATTTACTAAGTCTTAAAAGAATAACATACATAATTTTCATATTGTTTGTTGTGAATCAATGTTTTAAATATTTTACTTACATCTAGCCTTATAATAGAAATTGGATGAACCTTCGTGATGCAGATACAGGTAGTACTTTAAATGTCTTTTTTAAATTATGTTTAATTATTAAGAAATTTCTACATGTTAAAAAAGTTGTTTGCATTAATATTGTTAGAGGACTTCTTATTACTTCAGTGACTACCTCATGATGTTTCCTTCACTGTAAACCATTTGGAAAGTAAGCTGTTAAAATTGCAATTACTTTGTGTTACCCTGTAATTCACTTAAAGGGTAACACAAAGTAATTTATTTATGTAATTTATAATATTTATTCTATTTGATAATACAAAATATCTGTGAGAGTGTGAATAAAAGTGGGCTTACATATAAAAATATATACAGTGAAACCTGGTTAAGTGAGACATTAGTATTCCACTTACCCAGAGTCTCAGATATCCAGGTATAAATAAATATCTGTCTCATTTACAGAGGGTTCCATTAATAGAGGTCATAATATAGGTTATTTCAGTTATAGAGGTGCAATTATGAAATAAAATACCATTCTTCAGAACATGGTGATTGAATTTTATCTTTATCCTGAATTTTTCTTTAAAGAGTAAATTTTGGCACATTAAATTCGACACCGACTTCATTCCGTGTCTGCTTACTTTCATAAACGGTTATTAACTTCAGTTATTCATGTACTGGTAATGATTTGCGTCTTTGTTTTGGCATATTTAAAATAAACATCCATGTGATAGTAAAGCAAAACAAAAACTGAAAGTCATTGAGGCTCAAAAGTAGATACCTAAGAGTTTGGATAATAGGATAAGAATAAATAGTAAACAAACAACAATGTAATCTCATTTCAGAGGTTATTGCATATAAAATTCACTCACTGTCTCATTTATAGACTAACTATGGCAATAAAATTGAAAGAACAAATTCAAGATACAGAAGTTTGCTTCATGCCACTAACAGAGGTAACTCAGTGCCAAAGTGTTTGGACCTCAGTATGAGTTCCAGTTATGGAGGTCTCACTTATCAGGTCCCATTTAAGTTTCACTATATACTGTTAGATATACATGTTAGATATAGAATCACTTTTTGTTCTTTTGCAGTTGAAAAAGTCATTGATTTAATTTCTTCTTTACAATTCTCTGTTAAAAGCTAATTTGTTATCAAATTGCCAGTTGCGAATTACTATTGATCTGTCCATAGTTCTATACAATGAGTGCAATGCTATTGTCTCAATAAGATTAATCACCTAGTGATTAATGTTAGTAAGCATTATTGCTAGGTGATACTCTCTTCAAAGATCTTATATCGTACACTTACACATTCATTATTGTGAAGTAAAGATATAACATACTACAGATTAATACATTATATTCAGCTTCAAATATCACTATTAAGTATCACACCTGAGCGTTAATCATTAAAGCTAAGTGAAATCTTATCCAAAAAAAACTAATTTAATATATAAGGTCAAACATTATATCCTGTGATGGTTTTAAAGGAGTTTATCTGGCCATGCCTGTACTGCCCCTGATAGCTGAGTGTCTGAGTGCTCTATCTTAATCTAGTATACTCATGAAACTTTAGATCAAATCCCAGTGCTAGAACCAGTTGCAATTTTAAGCGCTGGTTTATCAATTATATTATATAAAACCTCCTCGGTTAACAAACACAGTGAGGAAACCTGTGTGTTTTCGAAATAATAACAAAAAATATTGAGCAGATACGTGAAGTGACCCAATCGGCATTGGGGTCGCGTGGTCGCCTATGCTTTAACACTTGCTCCACAGTGAGGCTTTTGCCCAGCAGTGGGATGTACATCGGCTGATATCAATACTTATATACTTATATATACTACTAATACTTTCTTCATTCATTATTAAAGGTGGAGTTTGTTCAATCCTTATAACAGGTAAAATACTGTGGCAGCACAACGAAGACATGTCCAATCCCGACATGGAGCACGAGGCTAGAGTCCCGAAGCGGATACTCAAGTGCCGCGTGGTCTCCCGTGAGATGAACTTCAGCTCCGTGGAGACTATGGACCGGTTTCGGCTGGAGCAGGTAGTAATAAAAACTTATAGTAGTATTCACATAAAAGCTTATAGGTATATACTATGTAATCATCAATATGAAGCTAAGCTACAGTTAATACAATCAAAAATATTTTTATTAAATTGCTACACTATAAATATTTTTATTAAATTGAGCTACACTTACTGGCCATCGCAGTGTGGGACGACCCACTCACTAGATGGAGTTGCAACCAGTGCAAATGTACGGCAAGTTGATGGATTCAGGTGGCTGTGGGGGAGGTCTATGTTCAGGAGTGGACTTAAACAGGCTGAAATGTTGATGATGATGAGCTACACTTTGTAGTGATTATTTTTCTGTGCTATATACCTGTAAAAAATGTATATCATGTGCGGTCCAATGTAGCTGGTTTATTTTATACACCCATGACCTAACATAATGAAGTTAATGCTAATGTCATAACGTTTTTTAATTTGTAAAAAAAATGTCCTCGCAGAAAGTGCTATTCAAGGGTCGCTGCCTGGAAGAGTGGTTCTTCGAGTTTGGATACGTCATACCGAATTCTACCAACACGTGGCAGTCCATAATTGAGTCCGCGCCGGAATCGCAGATGATGCCCGCCCATGTATTGAAGTGAGTTTGACTAAAATGTCTTTAAACAGAAAGAGTAAAGAAGTTATGTAGTAAGTACGGGAAAATGTACAGGTTAATATGTCGATGTTAAAATTACTTAACAATATATTTTTATTCAATCAAGACTTGTCTCGTGCTCTATTGAATTTCCAAATCAAGCACAGGTTGATTAATCTATACCCAGTACTTAGTACAACATAATTAGTTTTATATTTAAATATGTAGTTTAATTTATAAATCTTTTAGTATTAAACAAAATATTGCATAAACTATGATATCAAGATGATATGATACTAATTGTAATAATTTAAACATTACAACGAAAATTACGCTAGATGGCGTACTATAATATCATTATCCTCTCTCCGCTATCATGTGTAAGAACGTAGATAGATGGCGGTGTTTTATCATGAGGAGCGCCGATAAAAACCAAATGTTTATATAAGTGTACTGGTAGTTTATCTCATTATAACATTATTGTCCTTTACTACAATTTTATCTATACATTTTAACTTTCTACTTCAGTGAAGAGACTGGCACAAAAATGACAATTACGTGTTTAAGTCACCGGTCGCGCCAGAAGTATCGAAACGTAAGTTTCCGCTGTAAAGCCGAACGCGGAGACTAACTAATGTTCCTACTGGTCTTCATTAAAACACCATTAGTAAACTAACGTTAGGTATATATTTAAGTACTATGTGAAATATGTGTATGTAAAAATTTCTCATACATATATATGTATATATAAAATTATTGACTTGATATATGTTGTTGATGACGATATATTGAACAGGAGAGTTTTTTTATACAATTATTATTCCGAAGTTCCAACGAAAAAAAATGCCAAAGCGAAGCTTGGTTAGTTTTAGTATTATGAAAAATTAGGAAATTTATTAAATTAAACTACATCGTGACTTTCTCTAATAAATTTTATTTTGTCTGTTGAACCGTTTTTTGTTACTTAGAATGGAACGTACGTTTATGTTAGAGCGGTTGTAATGATTTTGTTTCGCTTTTATTTTTTTTTGCAGCGGCAACGTGGTCATCGAGACGAAATTCTTTGACGGCGACCTCCTTATTACCACTTCGCGAGTGCGCCTCTTCTACGTGTAAACGGCGGGTCTAAATTAAACAGCGCATTTGAAGAGCTCTCGCGGCGGCCCGAATGCATTTCAATGTCGAAGACTATTCCCGCATCTATTGCATTTAATAATAATCTCTGTATTAGGAATACCCGTGTGAAGCTACAATGCGCCCGAGTGAAATTGGTTCATCGTATGTACAGGACAGCGTTTTTTGCACTAGCAAAAAAGCTTAGCAAAACATACAACATCTATATCGACTGCCTGTATAAAAGTGATACCTACAATCTGTATTCAGTTATTCGGACGAACTTCTCAGGCGTATTTTAGTTTCACGCCCTGTAATACCATAGGCCGTTGGCACTTTTTAAAAAGCACTGGCCACTTAGAATAAAAAAATAAGTTTAAAAAAAACCTTTTCTACCTGTCAATTAATCCGCCCCCTTTTTTTATTCCACGTGTTTAAGGTTATCTGCGTTTACGTATTCAATGTATGTATAGCATTTTGTAATTCTTTGTTTTAATTTCTTCCCGAACGCAAGGCTGCTGGCAGCTTTAAACGTCTTTTGCACTAATCTAGAAAAATCTGCGTCGAGCGTTTTAGTCACCGCATTACTTATTGTTTCAATATGTCGTATTCCATTTAGTAGAATTAAGCAGTAATCATATTTACACACATGCTGTTAGACATATCGTATTAGTTATAGTTTAAAGACCTTTGGTAAAACTGTAAACCAAAGAAGTTCCATTAAACTCGCATTTATTCTGTAGCTTTCACTAATCTCGCCGCACAATTACTAATATATCTGCACCGAATTAGGGAAACATCCATTACAGGTACTATGGATTTCTCACAACTGTATGTATTTGGATTACTGAGCGTACTGCCACCACCATATTTTTTGTTTTTAAATTTAATCTTATTTTCGTGTAAGATGCCTACTTCCAATCGTTACCGTTTCTTAAGTCATGTTATTTGTTAATTTATAAAATTCGAGACCGTTTTTAATTTTACTTTATATAAATATAATATATTTTCATTACTTTTTTACGTTTTATGTTTATTTATTATATCTAGGAAACTTTAACTATTGTTTAATAAAGCGAACGGGTGCAGTGTACTATTCTTAGTATAAATTGTAGTTTATCGAAATAATTTTTTAGTCATCGTAGTTTTAAAGTGCAAGAGTAAATCCATTAAAACGTAAAAGTTTGTTTTATTTATTCTTAACACTAAAAGCTGTAGGTAAAATTATATTATTTCATTGGTGTGTGTAAAGCTTTAGTCTGAACTGAAAACAACATAATATCGTCGCAAGACCTAAGGCAAGTACAAACGAATTAAATGACAGAAAATCGTCTATGCCAACCATATGGATTCGAACTACGATGGATTCAACTTCGCGCTACGATTATTGAAAGTGAAGCATCGTACGATCTAGGCGAGTAATTTGAGAGATACCAAATGAATGAAAATTTGCCAATTTTTAAAAATATTTTGACAGTTTATTCATTAAAAAACTGTACAGGAAGCCCACTTACATTATTTTATTGAAATGACAAAAAAACCGTCTTATATCTTTTGTATTAACTGACGTTTACGCTTTCAGTCCCGAGACTATTAAAGCTTCATCGAATGGAGAACTGGTGGGCACGGGTTTGAGGCGCTCCACAGTGTGTAGGGCCGCGCATGTGCTCATGCGTGTGTTAGCTAAGAAAAACAGTAAAATCTTTTGTGCCAGTTTAATAAAATATAAAATCTTACTGTTGTTTAAATCCAATGGTCTTCACCTCTGCAGTATCTTATAATTTTAATCAATCGTTGGTCCATGATTGATTTGCTGAAGGAAACCTATAAAATAATCTTGATCAATCCTTCCAAATAACTACAAATAATTAATAAACGGATTTCCCAATCTCGGGGGAAGATTACCTATTTATTTTGTGACAACTTTTATACATCTGTTAAGGGTTTTTGTTCCGAGTAATGATTTGTAATTGTCAACAATGTAATGAATCAACCAGTTAAATTAGTGTCTTACCATCTGTGATATGTTGTTTCATGATACTTTTTCCCGGATTTAGGTATTATTTTTACACCATTCACATCATATCTTATGCATTATTTTATTATTATTTCTTAACGTAAACAGTACCTACAAAGACGCTGTCGTGCTGCTTAATGGCGGGGGGTCGGCGTGCTATGATGTAAATGTGTGGCGAGGCATTTATATAATATACAGCGTGTCGTTACCACCGCGACAAAAATTGTATTAAACATTTATATTCTTTAAACATCAATATTTACAGAGTTATTAAATTTTCCAAAACAAACAATTTTAGAACACCTTTACGTATAAAACTGTAACGTAAAGTTCATTTGTAAAGGTCACAAAGCATATGAATGGGTTGAATGAATTTAAAAGAGACAAAACAAACTGTTAGAAGGAGAGGCTTGTAATGCGACGCTGTGGCGCGAGTTGTATGGGATGTTACAAATTTTGCTTCTTTTTTACTTAATTAGTTTGTTTGAAAAATATTTTTTTTTTATTATGGATTTTGTTTAACGTTAATATTTTTTATGGTTATTGGCAAGTAGCGTTAGACGTGTGTCCATTTATTGTCGCGATGGTAACGACACGCTGTATAAGTACAAACGGCCTGGCTTGCTAACTATGCTTCATTTTCGATATACGTGGCGCGGAGTCCTGTTATTTTTCTAGCCCGTGGCTAGTGCACCCTTTAGCTACGCATTTGCCATGCAGCCATATTTGCTACTTTACAAATAGTTTGACTTTTTTTTATGGAGAAAAGGGGCAAACTACCAGGAGGCTCACCTGATAGTAAGTGATTACCGCTGCCCATTAACAACTGTAACACCCGAATCCTCACAAATGCATGGCCGTCTTTTTAGGAAAGAGTATGCTCTCTTTTTGAAGGTTTCCAGGTCGTAACGTTTCGGAAAGACCGCTGGTGACAGCTGGATCCACACAGTGGTTGTGCGAGGCAGTAAATGCCTTGAAAATCGCACTGTTGTGGAAAGCTGGACATCGAGGTGGTGGATATAATTTTTCAATTTTGGCGCGATGTCCTATGGTGAAATTCAGCCACCGGGATCAATCCTCTGTGACTCTACGTGGAAGGCATAGGTCTAGGCTTACAGAAGACAAGGCTTACAAAGTCGATGTACTACTATAAGTGTTGTATCACTTCGTTTTAAATTAGCCGGATGGCCACCGTCTTTAGGGTCGGCAACGCCTCTGGTATTATAGATATAAAGTATTTTTATCGGTATCATCAAGTGATGCTAGCTCGCTCGCTTTACCGTTTATTAAAATAAAATAAGAAATCTTGAAACATAAGAAAAATCTCCAGATGTAAAGGACTGCAGTGTATCTCAACCGCATATAAGTTTATTACAGTAGCATTGTCTCTATTAAACAAGTCTATAAATAGCTCTATACGACTCCACCAGACAGCATGACTCCAAACCAAAACGGCTTCAATTCCGCACGAGTTTGGCAAGCACCCAGGATCATCAAAGCTGGAGCTCTTGCAATAAGACTGAATCACTAGTAGACGCATTGTGAAATAATGCCAGATGAATTGCCGATTGACTCCTTAATTTAATAAACGGGTTTTATTTCTTTTAATAGGGATTAACTATCTGACTTTTATCGTTATTTGAATAAATTGTGGTGAAGTGAATTCAGAATTGAATCTGACGCGGCTAATCGAACTCGAATTACATAACGGGTCGCAATTATTAGTATTTTTTTCGCATGATGTCTACGTAGGGTGTGACTCATCGCAACGTGTCGAATATTTCGCAAAAAAAACTAAAACTATTAATAAAACAGACCTTTCTAGAAAAAAAAAATCTATAACTTACAGCTTATTATTTTAAGTAGTAGTGATAAAACAGACCTCTGCTTTTGCGCTTGCTGGGTATAGAAGCGTCTCCACTACCTTCCATAAATTAACTCTCCTATAACTTACAGCTTATTAACTTTCAATATTAAATTTAATGAAAATGAGTATTTTTTTTGATTAAAGTATAGAATTAGTTATAGCTGCAGCTTGTGATTGAATAAAAACAAATACTTTAATAACTAAAATTAGTTGTTAATTAAATATATTATAAATGTCAACATTTATCCTATAATACGATTACCTACTTAGTATTTATTCGTCACTGCGTGTATGCGCCTGATGGAATTAATTAGCATATTTTTATTTATGTATATCACACGCATATTGATACAGACATTGAAAAATATGATGTTTTTGTAAGGAAATTTTTTATTTTTCTCGCTGAATATACAAAAATCAGCAGCAATAATAACAAATAAATTCTACAGGTATATCAGGTTAAAAGAACAAAGTTTAAGCCAGGTCTTCAAAATTTTTTAAAATCTAGTTTTTTTATATCTTAAGGTTGTTTTGAAAAGTTCTTGTAGGTTTTAAACATGTTTTCGTGTGTGGAGTCTGTGCTTGAACATGTCATACATGTAGATGTGTGCTCCCTGAAAACTATAAAATTTCAGGGATAAGTCAAATTCACGTTTCCGAAGTACATTTCCGGCTGTAATAAACTTTTTTCACTTTCCAACATGCCCCCAAATTCCTGTCGACCCATTGGCCTAAGACGGAGTCGTACGGACAGGAACCACATTCCAGGCACTCTCTAAACGATGTTTACGAAATATTGCGTTCGAGTAAAGATAAAATACGATGGCCCCATCTGTAAGGAAACAACATTTTTTTTTTTTTTTTTTTTATGTGAAAAGTTGCCAAGCGAGCAGACGGTTCACCTGATGTTAAGTGAATACCGCCACCCATGGACATCTCCTACACCAGAGGGTACCAGATACGTTGACAACCTTTTGAAAATTGGGCTCCGGCCACCTCACTCACCAGACGAAAAGCGAAAGTATTATACTTCCACTTTGTGCCGGTCTTCTGTGAGGTCGTGGTACTTACCTGGACGAGCCTGCCCATTCGTGAAACAGCCAAGGCTGCTGCGTGGCCTTACCACCGTACTCTGTGACGTAATAGGCCGAATACAGTTAACGGATTTGATAACGCACGATCCTGTTTCTAGTTTCAATTCGGTTCGGGAGTAAGATTTTCAAATCGAGTTCGAATCGAAAACAAAAACAAATTCGAATCGAATTTGGGAAGTAAGTCGGTTGTAGGGAAGCGTTCGCACCGTCGCTCGGCCGACGTTGTGCACATCCTCTTTAGCCAGAAGTCGCCCGCCGTTTTCTTCGTAGAGCCGTCGCCGGAGGAAGCGGTGTCGCTGCGAGGCGACGCGCCGCCCGGCTCCGCATATAAATAATAGAAATTATCTAATTGTGACCGGCGGCGGGCACTAGCCGCGCACTCGCCGGGAATCGTAATCGCCCACCGCCCAATAACGCGTCGACGGACGCCTCGGCCGCCGTGGAATGGGTTTCCTGTTCGCCTTTTCTCTTTTCGAAAGGTCCACGTCATCAATGGGCTTTGGGATTGACGGATGACGCTCAACGTCGTAATTGAGAGTGCCTGAAGTCGTACAGGTGATAGGAATTGGCAATCTCACTCTTAATTCGGGATAATGTCTATCGAAAGCCTTCGGCGTTCGCTTTTAGTTCAAATACAAGCAACCTGATTTTAAACTCCGGTGCCGGGCATCAATAAAATTGTTAACTTTAAGTGCTGTCTTATCAAGTGCTTAGCGGTGAACATCCTTGAAGATATTCTACTCCAAACCAATAGCACCTTTTCTTAAAAACAATCTTGTTGATACCGTTCTCCCGCTCGTCTCCCATCCTGTTCAAAATAAACTGAATCTGCACTGATTGAAAAACATAAGCAAGGACAAATCTTCTCGTGTAGATTGGACGTGCTCTCGAGCAAACCATAACCTGGCAACTCCATCTTCTTTCAGAAATTTGAGGTCATCGTAGAATCGTATCAGAATTCACATTGTCGAAGTGATTTTTTTGAAATCTTTTTCAGACCTAAATCTGTGAGCAATGCTTGGCGCCATCCCGTGTGCATCATTTACAGCATAGATGGCGTTAAGCATTCAAGCTGACTTCTTTCCTCTAAGACCATAATAATAAGCCGTGTCCATTTTTCAGGTGATAGCGACATGATGCTGCACTGAATACTATGCGCTATCTACGAAATAGTTTATAATGTCGGCTATGTAAAAACATGCTATGTAATACAGTATATATACAAGTTTGTTTTATAATCTTGCATGTTATTATTCTTCAAAGAGCCAAATTTTGATTTGTGATACGCATTAGTAATCTACTAATAACATATTATTTATATGAGCTATCTATATAAATATATATATAGCTCATATAAATATATATATAAACTTTGACAATTATCGCAATTTTTCATACGTGAATCGTTATTTTTAAGGTCCAGTATAGTTTTGTGAAACATATTGTTTGTGCCTAAATACAGGAAAACACACGCGTTCACTGTAACGCCATATAACATATAACATAATACAAACCTACTATTATTAATATTTACGGACATAAACAGCTCTCAGGCCGTAAGTAATCCTCGGATTTAATCTACGATATTCAACGCGATGTTTATTTTGGCGGAAGCCCGTTCGTTACGGACGTTCGGAATGGAGGTGCATACATTTCCAATTAATGAGAGCATTCATTTAATGTTACGAAGAGCGAAGACGCCTGGCCGGAAGGAGTTGCTTCGGACTCACCTACTACCTAGTTATTCTGGCGGGAGAAGATAGGGCTGCGCAAGCCAAACGAAAATGATAATTTTTTTATAGCGCTAATCTCTGCACTAAAGATTAAACATTAAGATTTGTAGAAAAAGTACGAAGACTGTCGCCCCTGTGGGAATCAAACCCACGTGTTCGGCATTCGCGGCCTGAAAAATGAAACATTGATTTGAATGACAAACGTTTTTCGATTTTTTGAGACGATTATCTCGATGTAACATTTATTTTTGGTAATCTCAATGACTCAAAATATCAAATATGAACTACGACAAAATGATTAGTTTAGCGGTGGTAATACAGATCATAAATTTTGATACCATAAAGTTACGTATAATAACCATATGGCGATCGTTTTTTGAAATAAAAATTAAATTGGCGTACGTTTTGATGATCCAAATAACGAGAACATGTGATTACCTTTTATAATATATTTCATCATAAAATCAGTAACATAACAAGTTATGCCCTTACACTTGTTTATTTACGTGTAATTTCGTTCAAAAACCACAACAAAATTTATATTATCATCATATAAAAACTTCTCCCGCCGTAAAATACCCGTTTGAGTGATTAAAAATTTCGTTTCAACGATCACCACTTTTAAAACACCAATGAAAATGCAATTTATAAGCAATAATCTAAATGTTATTATATTTTTGCACGCTTACAACTTAGTAACGAAAATATAATGTATTTTACGATAAATTTAGGTACAATATTCGCCATTTACAATTTTTATGTCGCTAGCAAATTGTTGAGAAATTTTCCTCAAGAAAAATTAAAATTAAGTTTATGAATCTCACATCCATCCTTATTACCTTCATATTTTAATATAATTATATATTTTTTAATCTTTATAATCAATCAGTTTCATTTTTCATTTTGCAGTGGTATTTTATATAATACATAAGTGATTGAAGCATGTTATTAGCCTTTCGTCCGTTTAGTGTCAATAACTAGTCTGTGCGAAGGTTCAAAACTTCGGGAATTTAAACAATAATTATACTCGAAAAGATCTGTAAAAGTTTTTTTTTGTTTTTTTTTTTCTAAATGTTATTACTAAACCTTAAATCCAATTTGGATTTACATTATTTGTAAACAAAATACCACAGAAAACACTTAAGGCATTATTATGGATTATTTTTTTAGCGTGCCATGCGTTCCGTGCCTCCGTGCGTGCGTGCGTGTGTGCGTGCGTGCGTGCGTGCGTGTGTGTGTGTGTGTGTATGTGTGTGTGTGAGTGTGGTTAAGATGCCATTTCCTCCTCCAATACTTTTAATACCCCACTTTTGAATTTATCTTTATTTGTGTTGAATATATCAAGTAAGCGTGTATGTCTGGTTCTAACTTTTGGAGTCGACAATCGGAGAACTTTTGTAGCTAAATATTGGCAGTCAATATTATATTGTACAAATTTATATATAACTATTAACAAATTATTATATTGTACAATGTATAAACACGAGAATACAAGAAATGCGCCATAATTTTGATTAATTATGAGTATAATATTTCGAGGATATATTCAACGATGTAAATCGAATTTAAGGTCAGATAAATGGTTTAACAAATAGTTATTGTTTAACAAAATTTAGCCAAATAAAAAATGCAACTGCTTTTTCTGATTGGACCCGTCATCACATCTTGTTCAAGGTTTGGTATAGAACGATACCTGAGGTACCCGCTTTCTAATAAAGAAACGAACAATGCAGTAAAGTCAATGCCATCTTAGGTCATACCGGAGCCCTAGGTCACAGAATTTAGGGGCCTATAGGAAAAATAAAAAAGTTTGTTGCAATAAGAGGATATACAAATAACTTACGTCAGAAGCGAGGATTGAATTTATTCCTAAATTGGTACAGTTTTCCAAAGAGCACACTTGGTATCCCGTGGAAAATATAACCTGACAGATTGTTGTCACTTGGCCATTTAATATACTTGATTTAAACAATTAAATACCTGATTTAAACAATTTTTCTCCTTTAAGTACATTTTACCCATCTACTTGATTAGGCTGGGTCGTGTCAATTTGTCGTGTACAGCCTCTATCATGATTTGTGTCAAATTCGGCAATGTCGGCCTTCCCGGGCCTCCCTTTGCATAACGAGGCCCTGAGCATGGGCCTCGTGTGCCCTTATGGTAAAGACGGTACTGGGTAAAGTGTTATCGTATAAATTGTCACTTCGCCAAATGTTTTTGCGCGAATAACACACAGGACTGCGCGTGCCGTGGGTTCGAATTACACAGGGGAGCAAATTTTTTTTATGTGATTAGTTTAATTATTTTTTTAGTGTTGTTTTAGTAGAGTCTGTCCCGTGACTATGAACGCTGTAAAGGGTTCGAAACGTCGGGAATTAAAATTAAAAATAAACGCGATAAATCCGTAAAATTAGTTTCATTTATTACATGATTAGTTGTCAAGCAAGCACGCGGTTCACCTGATGTTAAGTGAAATCTACAACATGTGAGAGCTTGCAGATAACCTTTTTTAAAAAGTCGGCTTCAGTAACCTCACTCACCAGACGAAAAGCCAAAGTATAATACTTCCACTTAACGCCGCTCTTCTGTGAGGATGAGCATGTCCATTGGTGCAACAGCAGATGCAGTTGCGTGGATAGCATATGACAAATTTATCCCGTATCTGCGTTTTCATGTTTGAAAGACATCTCTTAGTGTGGGAGACTACTATAAAGACCCTATTCCTCTAATGGAGAACATACCCTTTTCGTTGTCGGTTAAATCTGCGCCGGGGCGGAGCCAGCCCTGCGCCGACGCCGACGGGGCGCGCCGCTCTTGCCGGACGAACACCAAATGTGTGATATTTTTAGGAATGTTGATTGCCCCCTTCCTGTTTCCGGCGCGCTCTGATCTGCCGCGCCAGCGGGCTCAGCGGCCAATTAGTGATGAATAATTAATACCGAACACGCGTTGACATGTGGACGGTTTGATTGGACACGGATTAAAGGGCTACTGGGGCAACGTTCCTACGCGTTATAAATATGTCACAGTAGGTCCAAAAGAGCACGGGACCGTCCCTGGGTTTTGTGATTGTGAAACAATAAAGGCGGATTGGCACGCTATTCGACACTTTTTAATTTTTCAAGTTATACTTCTTTGGGTACGTTTGGAAAAAAAAAAAGATAGTTAAACTTTTACAATGCGCATATCGACAGGCAAAAAGCGACATGACGAAGTTGGTAGCAAAGCGACCATCAATTTCACGGTATTATATCATGGCGACCAATAACAATATTTCTGAAATTTATCTATAATTTCAAGTTATTTAATTAATACATTTTGCACTTTTCGTGTGGTGTTATATGACATGAAACGGACTCAATGTGGTTTTAATCAAATAAAAATCTTTTTTAAATTTCCAATGTAAGGTGAAACAAAAATTAAATAAAAAATATCGACTGGAGTAAAACTTATTATTAACTAAAATAAGTGAATGGTATATATTATACTATAAGTACATTTTGTCAAAAAACAAAACTGACAAAAAATATAGAGTGGGATATTTGAAATATCTTCTCTATATTTTCTACTTCATTTTACCCTGATATATCTCCGAATTGCAAGATCAAAAACAAAATAGTTAATATGAAACATGGGAGCTAAGCCGAACTCAACGCAAAAGGAATTAAAAAAAAACATAATAAAAACGTAACCGAACTGCCGAGGACATCCTTTTTTGAAATCGGCTGAAGAATCCAGTCGTGAGGATATCGGGCGTATTACGCCGGTAGACGCACGTCTCAATATTGGCAGTGCCGACAGGGCGTGTTTGCGAAATCTCGCGGAATCTGCAAAAATAGGGGGTTTTCAGGTACATTTTGCGGCAAAACGAAACGAATATAATGTAAATAACAATTATCACATATAGATCCCTCCTTCATCTTCAAATGGTAGATAGTTTTTTTAATCGAAAATTTTGGTTTATAATATTGTAAATGAGAATTTTCGTGACCACTTCACTCAAAATGGACGAAATCCTGTTGGGTTTAGGAACATTTTTCTCTTATTTAATAACATATTTTTTTTATTCAAAAATATTTTATGTAAGCACACATGTTCAACTCAAAAAGGTAGCTACATTACGTATCAAAATTGTTGAAATTAGTTTCAGAAAAAAATAAAGATTAAAATCTATTTCTTTCACATTTATATCTTACGCGTGAATCTTAAGTGATTGACATAAAGGTTATTTTACTGGTCACTTTTTTGATTTACTCCACAAAATATTAGTCGGCGCTCGGCTGCCGTCATGAGTGGTCACTATGTCGCTTATAAACAGCAGCTCGTGAGGAAAAAGATCGCTGTACGAATACAAAATATTTGTCGTAACAAAGTTGATACTTTACACATCATGTTCGGACTTCGGACTACGAACGACAAAAGTAAACTATAATTCACACTTTGTCATATTTTTACTAGAAATTAGTAGGGGTTAAAAATTCATATTTCGTTACGGACTTGATGGAGTGACCTGAAGGTGTACTTCGAGAAACTGCTACTGGAACTAACAGACGAGATGAGCTATGTGTGTCGAGTTTGGGCTTGTTTTGTTAGGTATGGTGAGACCTTGCCTTCTGATTTGTTGGAGTGACCTGAAGGTGTACTTCGAGAACTGCTACTGGAACTAACAGACGAGATGAGCTATGTGTGTCGAGTTTGGGCTTGTTTTATTAGGTATGGTGAGACCTTGCCTTTTGATTTGTTGGAGTGACCTGAAGGTGTACTTCGAGAACTGCTACTGGAACTAACAGACGAGATGAGCTATGTGTGTCGAGTTTGGGCTTGTTTTATTAGGTATGGTGAGACCTTGCCTTTTGATTTGTTGGAGTGACCTGAAGGTGTACTTCGAGAACTGCTACTGGAACTAACAGACGAGATGAGCTATGTGTGTCGAGTTTGGGCTTGTTTTGTTAGGTATGGTGAGATCTTGCCTTCTGACTTGATGGAGTGACTTGAAGGTGTACTTTGAGAACTGCTACTGGAACTAACAGACGAGATGAGCTATGTGTGTCGAGTTTGGGCTTGTTTTGTTAGGTATGGTGAGACCTTGCCTTCTGATTTGTTGGAGTGACCTGAAGGTGTACTTCGAGAACTGCTACTGGAACTAACAGACGAGATGAGCTATGTGTGTCGAGTTTGGGCTTGTTTTTTATTAGGTATGGTGAGACCTTGCCTTTTGATTTGTTGGTGTGACCTGAAGGTGTACTTCGAGAACTGCTACTGGAACTAACAGACGAGATGAGCTATGTGTGTCGAGTTTGGGCTTGTTTTGTTAGGTATGGTGAGATCTTGCCTTCTGACTTGATGGAGTGACTTGAAGGTGTACTTTGAGAACTGCTACTGGAACTAACAGACGAGATGAGCTATGTGTGTCGAGTTTGGGCTTGTTTTGTTAGGTATGGTGAGACCTTGCCTTCTGATTTGTTGGAGTGACCTGAAGGTGTACTTCGAGAACTGCTACTGGAACTAACAGACGAGATGAGCTATGTGTGTCGAGTTTGGGCTTGTTTTATTAGGTATGGTGAGACCTTGCCTTTTGATTTGTTGGTGTGACCTGAAGGTGTACTTCGAGAACTGCTACTGGAACTAACAGACGAGATGAGCTATGTGTGTCGAGTTTGGGCTTGTTTTATTAGGTATGGTGAGACCTTGCCTTTTGATTTGTTGGAGTGACCTGAAGGTGTACTTCGAGAACTGCTACTGGAACTAACAGACGAGATGAGCTATGTGTGTCGAGTTTGGGCTTGTTTTATTAGGTATGGTGAGACCTTGCCTTTTGATTTGTTGGAGTGACCTGAAGGTGTACTTCGAGAACTGCTACTGGAACTAACAGACGAGATGAGCTATGTGTGTCGAGTTTGGGCTTGTTTTGTTAGGTATGGTGAGATCTTGCCTTCTGACTTGATGGAGTGACTTGAAGGTGTACTTTGAGAACTGCTACTGGAACTAACAGACGAGATGAGCTATGTGTGTCGAGTTTGGGCTTGTTTTGTTAGGTATGGTGAGACCTTGCCTTCTGATTTGTTGGAGTGACCTGAAGGTGTACTTCGAGAACTGCTACTGGAACTAACAGACGAGATGAGCTATGTGTGTCGAGTTTGGGCTTGTTTTATTAGGTATGGTGAGACCTTGCCTTTTGATTTGTTGGTGTGACCTGAAGGTGTACTTCGAGAACTGCTACTGGAACTAACAGACGAGATGAGCTATGTGTGTCGAGTTTGGGCTTGTTTTATTAGGTATGGTGAGACCTTGCCTTTTGATTTGTTGGAGTGACCTGAAGGTGTACTTCGAGAACTGCTACTGGAACTAACAGACGAGATGAGCTATGTGTGTCGAGTTTGGGCTTGTTTTATTAGGTATGGTGAGACCTTGCCTTTTGATTTGTTGGAGTGACCTGAAGGTGTACTTCGAGAACTGCTACTGGAACTAACAGACGAGATGAGCTATGTGTGTCGAGTTTGGGCTTGTTTTGTTAGGTATGGTGAGATCTTGCCTTCTGACTTGATGGAGTGACTTGAAGGTGTACTTTGAGAACTGCTACTGGAACTAACAGACGAGATGAGCTATGTGTGTCGAGTTTGGGCTTGTTTTATTAGGTATGGTGAGACCTTGCCTTTTGATTTGTTGGAGTGACCTGAAGGTGTACTTCGAGAACTGCTACTGGAACTAACAGACGAGATGAGCTATGTGTGTCGAGTTTGGGCTTGTTTTGTTAGGTATGGTGAGATCTTGCCTTTTGATTTGTTGGAGTGACCCGAAGGTGTACTTTGAGAACTGCTACTGGAACTAACAGACGAGATGGGCTATGTGTGTCGAGTTTGGGCTTGTTTTGTGAGTTTTTTTGAGACCTTACTTGAAATTGATGTATTGGCATGAAGGTGTAAGAATACAGTAAAAAAGTTATTTAAAATATGGAACTATGTATTCTACATCAATTCTGTGTATAAATATTTGTGAAACATGTTAATATAAAAAAAAAATTGAAATTTAGATTATAATTATGATAGGTCAATAGAGTATAAATATAAGTCAAAGTAAATCACAAGTCAAAGTAATGAATTTTTAATATAAACATTCTACATTATTTGGACATGATTAAATATTTTAAATGTCTAATTTGACAGTGTACAGATTTTAGAATTTTCGTTTTAATTTAAATACTCCGGGAGGCCTATGAACCTATCTGGTATTTTATTATAAATTCTTATTTCCATGCAGCCAAATGTTGGCCAAAAGTACACCACATGTAGAAAAGTTGTATGGATAATTAAAAATACAAGTAATACAAAACAAATTTGCACACTTGCAAATTGTAAGATTAAGCATGTCTAAAAGGTCATTTTTTTGTATATTCCAATGAATAGGTGTAATAAACATGTACTTCAAAAGTTTCGAACGACAGCTATGTGGCAAACTTTTTGTTTCACGTTTATGACCCCATTTATCGTTTATTGTTTTGTCGTGTTTCGCACTGATCAACTTGTATGATCATGGATTCTGCCTAAAATAATACTTAATTTTTTTAATGACTTGCAATCTTTTGGAACAAATGGTATCTATAGTAAGAACGTCTTTAAAATAGGCAAAAAAAAAAAAAAAAAAAAATTTTTATGGCACAGTTATCACATACAACATTTATACCTCTTATAACTCAATTGTTGTTTCAGATGCCAAAGCCTAAAACGATAAAATTTTAGCAGGCTACTACTTCGATATAGATAACAAAAATAATTAAATGATAGAGAACTATAAAGAAAAATCACAAAGATCCGACACAGAGCACCCCGACTCCGTGTGGTCTTCCCTATCCATAGAGTGAACATCAAAAGGCGGAGCCAGAACCTCGTGTCGGAGGTATAAATTGGCCTCGCGGGCTTGCTCCACCCAGGA